TGAACCGCTGCCCCTTCCTCCTCCCCTCCTTTCATCACTGCACTCCCCCCATGAAAGGATGCAAGCTGTTGGGTGAGTTTTCCATCTTTGAGGGTGTCCAGAGCACAGGTAAATCTGTATAAGCTGTCTCCCACTGCACCAGCAAATGTGGAGTTTTTTTTTTTTTTTTCGTTTTTTTTTTTTTTCCTGAGTGGATAATTAAGAAGAAACATCTTCATTTTCCACTCTAACAGCATTTTTGTCTCTCTGCCAAATGGGCAGTATTTAGCATGATGATGGGTTGTACGTAATGGAGAGTCTGGAGTGTGTTGCAGTTTGGTTCTAATGGACCATATTGATCATGTCTGATTGGTAAGTTTCTTTGAACCTTGATATGAAAAGATTTAAGGTGTAATTTAGAGTCTAATTCAGACATACACACAATATTAAAGGCAATCTCACAGAGCAGATGCAACAGTCAACTTGTACAAAAGCTTCTCTGAAAGGTAGGTGTTGCAAAGCAAGACTGGAGCTTTATTGTTCTGGTTTACTGCAGAATCATGAAAATGATCAGATACATCATTTGAAACTTTTCATGCTTATAAGAGGTTGTGTGGCGGTCTCTTTACACATACTTGACAAGTAAGTAGGAAGCTGGATGATGCATGTGTAATGCAAATGCTCGAGTACATGACTGGCTGTGTGACGTCAATAAAAACCACTTTTGTATAGTTGTCATCCTTCGCTCAGACCTCAAGGGTGTCTCTGGGATCTACTCACTGTAGAATCACTCTCTTCTATGCATACACTGTGGCAGGAAGTATTAATGTGTTTCATCAGGCCTCAGGGATATATCCATTCTTTCCCAGACTTTTTTTCATAGACTTTCTGTATATGTACTGCATACACCAGGGAGTACAGCGTGACCATAGATGCAAGAGAGGAAACTACTATGGGTGGACACTCCACCGCTGAATACATTCTCATTCTCAAAACACTGTTATGAAAAGATCCTTGAAAATGAGGTCTTGGTTCTTTGTAGTTTTTCCTCTTCCAGCTGATTTACACTTTATAATAGCTGCGGGAATAGACTTTGTCATTCAGAGTGACACCACATGCAGTGTGTGTGTGTGTGTGTGTGTGTGTGTGCTCAAAGTGAGAGGCAAGAAGATAGATGAAGTCATTTGGAATTGGAAGCTCTTGGTTGAGCAGTAGCCCAAATTGAGTCTGTATGTCTCTGCAGCTTTTAGGGTTTAGATAAGTTTATGCACAGTAGGGAATTCACTTCACTGAGATAGGTGCGGGCACATTGAACCGGTTAAATCTTAAACCTTCCTTAGAGGAATAGATTATAGATGAACAAAGTAAAAAGTGTTTTCGTCACGTAACTACCATAAACAGCACTTTTATATTAACAAAAGATCAAATCAATACTTTTAGGCAAAAAGGGTCATTCATAGTGATGAACCTTATCACCTGACTTCACAGTTCTCCTCGGCTCGTATGGCACATTCATTGGCTTTCACCTCTTTGCTTTGGTTTTATGACCCATAACTGCACTGCTTTGTCTGAGTCTAAGCACTCTGAATCGCTCAGCAACAGCTGACAGACAAGGCTAGCAACTACTTCACAAGCACAGTGTAGCATGTATCAGCTAAAGAGAAAACTAAAAAGAAGCTGAAAGAAGAGCACATGTTGGTCTTAAATTCATCAAATTGCCAAACTCCAAGTGAATGCTAATCTTGCTCTGTGCTTGCTGGATGTGTCAATCAACTATTTGCTAACAACTTCATACCATTTATGATCATAATGTTGTGTTTACAGCTTGTTTCCACTGCCCCCAAGTGGCCAACATTTAGTTATTGCATAGTAAAGCTTTGTTACATGTTATTTTAACAACGAGGACTCTTTAAAACAACTTCCTAGGAAACACAGACCTCTAACTATGGGCTAATAAGGTTATTGCTGACCTATTAGCAAACACTGGGTTACTTACACATTCAGAAGTCACTAAACAACATGAGCAGCCCATCTTGAGTCATGTTTATGGTACACGAATGAATCAGAGTTCAGTGTTCACTGGTGTTTTAATACTGGCTTGGATCCCACTAGCTTCTGGCTTGCTAGAATTTCGTGTGAATTTCTTCACCACCAACTTGTTTGCTTCAGCGTTCTGTCATTTATCACTGGTCTGGTAGAGCGCAGTCAGCTTGTCTGAGCCGGAAACCACAGCCCTTGGTCATATTGTATATGTGGGGGTAATAATAGCTATAAGACACAACCATACATTTTGTATGATGGTCGGAGAACCAAATAATGGACTGAATGTGTCAAAAAGCTGCAGTGGTGGCTGCTGAGGATCTGCTAGTTTCAGCACAGCTGGTAATTCTTTTACATTACATAGAGTGATTTGATTGGAAATCAAAGATATGGCCTACTATATGTATATATACACATTAATCATATAGGCCTGCCTTAAAGGCAGCACTACTAAGGACTGACAGCCACTGGCAAGTGCAAGGAAAGTATAAGTATCGCAAGTGCAGGTGCTGAGTGGTAATTTATCATCACATAGGCAGCAAGTTTCATTCTTAGTCATATTGCGTATTCAGTGTGACTCTCTGGCCTTAAGGTGAAATATGGAGGAGCAAGCCTCAGTGTTGAGGACCTGCAGCTTCCAGGCAGCATCGGACAACAGCTGCCTCCCTCTATCAGTGTTTTTATGTGGTGTCTGGGTGTGTGTGCTCCGCACACACCAGATGGTTGTGTCTGCGTGTGCTGGTGTGTGTACCTGTTCGACCTCCGCCATGGGCTCAAGCTGATAACGTCAGCTGACAGATGGTTGTAAGTTTATTTACTCTTGGGCAGCTTTTTGTTCTTCAGAGTTTTAGGGCTATTTTTCAGCCTGTTGTTGTGAAATTTTCATTGACAGAGTACTGAAGTCTCTATCCACTAATAGTGTTTGTATATACTGTATGTGTGTTTCAGTACATCCATGTGTTTTAAATTGTAGTGTGATAACACATTCCACTTGTCCAGTTCTCATTTCTGAATTGAACACATGACACTTTGACATCTAACCTGCTTTATCAAGGCTACGCTAGGTTACTAAAGGTCATTTAAGTCATACATTTTATGCAGAACCACAAGTTAAAGCACAAATCTCACAATAAATCATTTAAACAAGGAAATTAAGCTCATAAACAACTTTGAAAGCTAAATATTGTAAATGAGGCAATTTGAAGTTTGAGGAGAGCTGTGCATCTTGTCGCGATGTTGTTGATTGGCTTTATGCCAGTTGTTGTGTTTTGATTTGATTTTATCTAAAGTTGAATAATGGGAAGTTAAATTTTAGGTATCAGCTTATCAGGCCTTGAGGTCTTACACGCTTCACAACATGCAAAGTATTTTGTTTTGCTCTAATGAAGCACAAACATTTCCTCAATTTATCTCTCTAGGTTTTTCCATTTTGCTCACTTCTACAGAGCAACCATTTTTACTTGAACCTCATCTCAATGTCGTTGGTCCAGTTGTATTGCATGGACATTTTTATGACCTACCTGCTGAAAGGAAAGGGGTATCGGTGACAGTTTCTGAGAGTAGTTGTGCCTTCTGTTCTTCTGCTCCACTGCCATTAGATCTTTAGTCGGTTGCTTGGTTGCTATTGTAGCTCATTCACAACAGGGAATGGCAGCTGAATGGAATTTAAAAGCCTGTGCAAGCACAGATTCTCATAAACATGTCCTTGGTTAGGTGTAATGTGTGTGATGTATCACCAGGATTTTGTTAGTTTTGCATTTCTCTTGACACAGACCTAGAAGATTTTGTCTCGTGTATATTTGGACCAATTCAGTGGGTTGACCTTAATCTTTCAGCTATTATGAAACCTGCTTCTGGTTACTGGTCTCCAGACAAATGCAGCCATTAGTGAGTCTGTCTGAGAGTGAAATGAAACTGCTTAAGATTGGTATTTCACAGTTACTGCTGGTGTTTCCAAGAGTGTGTTTAAGTAGGCATAATGTGCATATACTTTACTGCTGTGCATCAGTGTATTCTGAGGTTATATGTTCTGAAGCATTTGACAGGCGCCATGATTGTCAGCGTCATGTGCTTTTCACATATTTTAACTGCATTAATGTGCTATTTCTCCAAGTAACAAGAACATGGGCTCTGGATATATTTGTGGTACCATCTGCCCTGTTCTGGTGCCAGAGGAGGAGTTTAGCCCCAGCTCTGAGACTATGCTTTTCATCTTTTTTCATCTACACGCCTTTGTTCTGTACTGATCTATGATGCATATTCCTTACAGATAAGGCTTAATGAAATCTCAGAGGTCCCTCACTGATGATCCTACTCGTGCTAGCACCTGCTAAAACGTGCATCACCCAAGTGTCTTTGCTGTTCTGACCCGCCCTTCTTTTCATTGTGTTTTGAAGGAGATTAGAAACATGCACAATGAGCAGCTGATGGGCATCAGGCGAGAGGAGGAGATGGAGATGTCTGACGATGACATGGAGGATGCCCCTGACAGCAAGGACTCGGAGGACCCAGGTATGCATATGCATTTACCGTTCAACACTTCTGTCCCGATGACAGGCCATATACTGATCGAGATGTCCAGAGGAAGAACAAAGTGTTAAATAACTGAGGAAGACAGCTGCCTTTGACTGAAATGATGGTAATCATCCCCCAAGCATCAACCATCTGACAGCTTCACATGAATAAAAACACATTCAGAGTACATCAAGATGCTGACACCACCTGCTTTGCTGGGTTGATACTGAGCATACAGACACGGGTGGAAGTGGAATCTTTCAGCCACTAAAGAAAAACACAACAAACTGACAAAAGTAATTGGCTATTCTTTATTCCATATTTAAGTCAACTGACACATTGCTTTTGATGTTCAGTGTAACATGTATAGAAACATTTTGTAGCAAATCCTTTTGAAGCTACAGTCAAGTGGTTGTTGTAACTCTTAATGAGACGCTACACTTCTCTCCTCCTAATCAAACTGCTCCAGTTTGCTCAGTTTTGATGCGTGTCTTCTCCCAGTTGAAAGTTTCAACACTGTTTATTACATGTTCAGTCGGATTAAGATCAGGACTCGTATCGTACCACTTCAGACTGGTCCAGTGTTTCCGCTCATCCATTCTTGTTTTTTTTTTTTTTAGAGGAGCCATGTCCTCATATTGAGATAGAGCTCTCTGACACTGGGCAGTATGTTTCTCTCTAGAATGCCTTGATAATCTGCCAGACGCAGCAAAGCAAACCAGCAAATTACTGGCAGGTCAAAATTATGACAGGTCAATATCTCTTTCAAAAGTGGTTAAGGTTAGGCTAAGGTGCTAGGGAGTGCATTATGTCAGTGAGTGTCTTCACAAAGACAGAAGTACGTGTGTGTGTGTGTGTGTGTGTGTGTGTGTGTGTGTGTGTGAGAGAGAGAATCTATCTCCACACCTACATACCAGCTGCCATCCAGTTTCAGACTGGGGCACCACTGAAGTGCCATAATCTTGTGTTTTCCCCTCAGAGAAGTCTCTTTGTGTTTGCTGAAGCAACCAAACCCACTGCTACTAATCTCTCAAGTCTAGAGTAGTCATTAGGGCAACACGCTTTAACTGTCACCACCACACGGAAGGTCATCTTTTATCTTCTATTTCGTGGCTCCCTGGATGTTGTTATGCTCTCCTCGTGTGCTGTATCTTCGTGCCTTTTAGCCATCCTGATCTCTACCATTTGATAATATGACAGCTTCTCTAATCAGCATGCAAATGTATGTAAATGCATTTGTCAGCTCAGCCCCTTCTCTTTTGCAACCTTGCTATTTATCTATCAGTAATTAGCATTGTTGTCAAAGAGCTGTCATTATGCTCAATACTGCAGAATTGGTTGAGGTGAGGTGTTACTGTGTCACTTCTTGATATTTGTGTTAACAGACTGACTGTTACACCCCCTTTACTCAATAACTTTTAAGCACCGGGGCATGTTTACATGTCAACCAGTACTGCTCGGAAACACCTGTGTTATCACTGCAGCCTCTTAAAAAGTGAATCGATGCTGTGCATCTGACTCATGTACAGAATAGAAAATAAAATAGCTGCTTGTGTGTGTGTGTCTTTATGCTTGAAGGTGTGTGTGTGTGTGTGTGCATGCAGGCTCATGGATACCTGCAGGTCGATAGCGGTGCCTGTTATGTAACAGGAGGGGAATTGCTCAGAATCTGGCCAAGCAGTTGACATCTCTTCACAACAAGTTGATGAGGCTCTCAGATCAATACTCTCCTCACCTCACACCTTCATTTTGCTGGTAGAAAGGTACACACAGACGCTGTGTGAACACACACACGCACTCACCTAGCAAGAGTTTATTAACACTGCCAATGGTCCTTCATGATAGACTCCAGGCAGCACTCACGAACACCCACACAAAGCCTAACCAGTACACACTTCAGTCTGCACACACATATACAGTCAAGCAGGATGGGGCTTATCTCCCCAGTCCAGTCAGTGTATTGCACATTCCCAAAGAGCCCACAAGGCCCACAGGAGGAGAGCAAAGCTGATAATACTGGACATCACTGGAGCTGAGCAGGTATCATATAATAACTCCCAGTGTCTCCTTTCTGCTCAATAGTTCAGGTTACTTGTGGAGTGGAGAGCGAATGGACAGAACTCTCTGACATGAACCTAGCTTGCAGTAGACTATTTTAATATACTGTAGGTGTTTGATTATCAGATATGGAGTGAATATCCAAATGACCATTTTTCAATTGTTTGACAAAACTGTACCTGGAGAATTTGGATCTTTTAGTTTAAGATAGAGGTATTAGCAGATTTGTAGATGATGAGCCCTGAAAACCCATTTTCTCATCAGCTTCCTAAAATAAATGATAGTTCCTACATGACCTGATCATCATCATGGCGTGATCTATCAGACAGTTCTACATGAGCGATATCTCAGTTTGTTTAAAAAAAGGTAATATGTCAAACTTGTGTTGCCTCAGGAACATTTGAATCTAAATGTGATGGCAGATGCCAGGCCACTGTCAGAGGTGTGAAGTGAAAGAAGCTGCTGGTTCCCACTTCAAAATCTTCTCTAAGCAGCCTCAGTGTTTCCTGACATAGAAAGAGATGTCTGTCCCATATCATGTAGGTTTATTTTTTGACTGCCAGTTATATTTATTTTCACTTCACTTCAGAGAAGTCTTCTTGGGCTGTCAACTTGGCAATGCGGCCAGCTCCAAATACACACATGAACCTCAGCTGCTGTAGCTGTGTAGAAGAAGCCAGTCAGAGGAGCGCATCACAGCGGTAGCCAGTCGAAAACACTATGTTGTTGAATTTGCCGCCGTAGTTGCTGAATTCATCCAAACCTGCCCCAGAATCCAAAAGTATTACTGGCACTCTGTGATTGGATGGCTCTTGCCAAAATGCACCTTGGTAATTGTAGAAAGATCAAGGAACCAGATACTTTGTAGTTGAGTTGTTAATTATTTGGACTGATGATTAAGTGAGGAGAAGATCTGTGACTCTCATAACATTGCATATGGAAAAATGAATGACAAAACACACAAGTTAGATGTAAAACTTGAAACCAAGTTTTCAGGGGTATTGATGTTGCTTGGCATACAGATACGGATTCTGAAGGAAGAGGCAGACATACAGTATGTATATCAAGAAGACATTTTTCAGTTTTGTTTCAAGATGCCTGAAATTTGCATGAAGTCAATTAAGCTTTACTCTTTTGCCATTATGCATGCCATTTTAATATTTTAATGCTCATGTTCCCCCAATCCTTTAACATGTTTCTGTGCCTCACTCAAATGAACAAGGAGCGAATCAGTCAAGGCTGAAAATGTCATACAAATTGCTTCTTCTTTTTTTTTTTTTTTTAAATATACTGTATACTTTTCATCTGAAGAGCCAGGTCAAGGAGAGCTCAACGACCCAAGATTTAAAAGTCACACTGTCAAACTGACGTCTGGCAGAATAATAACTTGTAATGATGTTGTGTAAATGGAACAACTGAACTGACAGCCTTATAATCACCATCATTTTCCATTCTGTGGTCTGTACTTGTGTCTATCTGCAGGTGTTTCCCAAGCAGAAGCCTTAAAGGAGGAGAACGACTCTCTGCGCTGCCAGTTGGACGCCTACAGGAACGAGGTGGAGCTGCTCAAACAGGAACAGGGCAAAAACCAACCAGTCCGATGTGAGGAGGACAACGCGCATTCTCTGCAGCTCGGCTTCCTACAGCAGGCTCTGCACGGCATGCAGAAGGTAGAACAGGCACCCGCAAAAGCATACGGACCCTTTTGTCCTGTTACCAGCAAGTCTTCACTCCTATACATTTCCGTTATGCACTAGGTTCTTTTTAAGAACAAGGTTGCTCAGGTTAACCCACAGATTTTTCCAGGCACAATGGAAAAACCCGGCTGTAATTTATTCATGAGACCTAGCACTTTAAAAGAAAGCCAAGAGCTATCTGGCAACAAGTAGAGAAGTACAGCTGTCAGGAGCAGCTGTTGGATTTTTATGGAGAGCTGATAAAAAGTAATATTTTTGGATTTACTTTGGTTATTAGAAAGCTTATTCACAGTTGGAATGGATTTTAGTTGGGATTGGAGAGTTGTGTGCAGTGATTCAAAAAATGCAAAGATACGTCTTGGAACAAACCCAAGGCAGTTAAAACAATTTGAGACCATTTATTCAAAGAAAGAGTGAAAAGTATTGGGCTTTTTTCCTTTCTTTGAAAATGGGCGTTGAATATAGTAGGTTTGCTTGTGATCATTGTTGAAGAGGGTCTTCAGTTTTCCATATATAAATTAAAACAGTAGGTGGTATAGCTGTTTTGGGGTTTATTGACATTTCATTCTATTCATAAAGTACAATACATCAGACTTTGTCAGGGGTAGAACATTAAAAATCTTATTTCCATGGCTATCTCTGGTGTTTACACAGCCATTCAATGCCTGGCGTAAACTTTTTGAAAATAGGAATTAAAACATTAGATGTTGTAGTCATTTGAACAATTATTAAAATAGATTGAGAAGCAAGTCAGATAAAAACATAACATAACATAAACGACTACAGAGTAAGCAAAAGTCATAATATGTGCATGTATAAGCACCTGAAAGGACAGGATGCAGTGAGAAGTTTATAACAGTTCAGAATTATGATTGAGCCTTATGTTTTGATATTTCTACAAATGTACTGTACATAGAGGTAGTTTCATGCACATCCAGTCCTACGGTATGTTTAGGCCCACGGCACTTCAGCAGCTATAATGAAGGAACAAAGAAGGGTGGCCACACAGTGTTGTGACCCTATAGGGTCTTCGGTAGGCAACTGGTCTGCTAGGGTTAAAACATGACTTTTTTGATCAAACTAAAATCCAATGTCTCTCTTCTTTTTCCATTTTGCTGTCCTGCCCCTCGGCTAAATGTAGATCTGCACAAAACACATTTTTTGCTTGTTTGTTTTTTCAGAGCTAAAATCCAGTGCTCTTTTCCTTATAATCATTGACAGTCTGCTATCAGTCTACTTTATTTTTAGCTTTTAAAGCGTTTTATTGACAGCAGTTGAGTACACAGTGTCACTGCATGGTGGTTGTGGAGCTTTTGTTTGAATCAGCGGGCTGAGAAATAAACCCACCATGGACAGTGGCTCCTTGAAGTGCTCAGAATAAAAGGAAATAATTGATATTTGAACATCTACAGTTCCATGTCAACACCATATTATGATGAATATCATGATATGATCAACAGCTTCATGGCATTGTTCTCCTAACTATGCAATCTTCAAGCTATAAGATGGACAGTCCTTTGCAGATTTCAAAAGAACAACAGCAGTAATGCAAGAAACCCTTCAGTATTTTTAAAAACCAAAAGCTTTTTAAAATTAAAACGGACTCATTCTGACATTTGCCCTCACATACCTGGCTGTTGCATGTAATGGAAATTATGATTGATTTATATTTGGAAGAGGAGAATCCATAAAGGCCTTGCTGTTCAGTTCTGCTTCCAGGAGGTAATTACCTTTGCAGCCTACATCTCTCATGATGTGTTTATGAAATATTATATGAATGGATTAAACAAATTGGAAGACACTGAAAGTAGATACCTCTCCTTGACAGGGTCCGCATGTTGCATCACGTAGCCACACAAACTGCAATGAAATGTTACCAGCAGGTGTTGGCGGCTTGTTTCTTCTGAATTATAGTGGATGTAAGACAAAAGCACTTAATGTGAACTGGCTGTGAAGACACCTCTGCGACTTGTAGACCCTCGTTTAGTTGAATGAATCTTTTCATCTGTGTTTAGCAGATAAATATAGTTGTTAGCTATCACAGCTCACTCAGAACCAGTTATTGTGTTACCCAAAGCAAGAATAAAACCCAAACAAGTGTTAATTCTATCATGATGCTTTTCCTCGATCTGTAATTTCTTATTTTGTGTTTACAAGTGAAGCATTTGGCAAATTACTCCTCTTGGACATATAGAATAGAATGGTTGTTTTCCCTCTAGAAAATGTTATTAAAGATATAATTCACACCTAACTGCTTTTTTGGTAGCAAGCTGAAGTTCTAATTACCAGTGTAGGAATTACATGCTAAATATTAATAAAACAAATGGCTGATTGTTCCTCTGCTTTCACAGCAGTTTGAGCACAAGGTTAGTATTGTCACAGTTAATTAGTTCACAGTAGCATTAGTGGCTTCCTGTTCTTCTGTTTATTACAGCAACTGTTAAAAATGAGGGAAGAATTAAAGCAGCGGGAGGCAGAGCTGGAGAAGAGTTTGGAGGACAGGCAGCAGCTGAAGAACCAAGTCCAAACCCTGAAGGAAGGTCTCCATAACCTGCAGAACACTGGTGTGATGCAGGTTAGTTGGACAGAAAATACACTTTGTATGTTGGGTTTCCTGAAAAGGGAAGAATAAACCATGATTTTTTTAGTGAGCTTTGTTGGAAAGTTTATTTTAGGGTTATCTAATTTACATTTTAATAAGAAAGGAGACTTCAAGCTGAGATTCGACGCATGAAATATATCAGAGAACTAAATCATCAATAAACACAAGGACTGAATGTGAGAGTTTTGGGGTGAGAACATGATTCAGTAATTTGAATGTACTTCTGAGCTCATCAGATATCTCTCTCTAGTTGTTTGGGTGTATCCCTATAACCTTAACACTGCAGGAAAGGGCTGACCACAGCGAGGCAGACTTCAGTCAGTGTTTTGGTTCCCTGTGAGTTTATTTCCTTCTTTTTATAACTGACCTTTTAAATTCTAGTTTACTTTCAAAGGAGTCACTACTACAGCTTTAAGCGCTCAGGAAAATGATCAGCTTATTATGTCCCTTCAGTTACTTGTTATTAGCGTACAGTTTTCAAATTATCATTATCTGAAGGACTGTTTGTGTGGAAACATCTCTAGTCTTTGTGTCCTTCAGACTTTGTTCAGACAGTTTACTTTATTTTCACAGATGTTACATAAAGCTAATAAAGCTGGTGTGTTGGCTGGACATCTGTTACTTCTGAGGCAGCTTATTGATTAGTAATGATCAATCACCTATTTCAGCTGTTCTTCAAGCAAAAAATAAATATTTGTTAGATCAAGCTTTGCCACAAACACATCCTTATGTTTGGGCTGCTGGTCAAATCTAACAAGTTATAATTGGAATTTTTTTTTCTATTCTTACATTTTCTAGGCCAAACAAATAATCAGTAGATTGGTCACTGATGGAAATAATACTTTGTTGATGTCCTATGCGGTACATCACTATTGTCCACCGCATGGCCTGCAGCTTGCTGTACCAGAGTGTGAAGAAACTCTAATTGTGACATAGTTAGTTTCACACTAAACTAGTCATTTAGCTCAGTTGGACCATCTGTACTTGCTCTATAACACAACAAAGTGGACTGGTACATCATTCAGGTACGGTAATATGGGAGAGACCGATGGACAAAGTAAGAGTACAGTAGCATTTATTTGAAAAACAGAACATACAGTATGTTTGCTATTACACGTGAAGTTTATCTCATTAATGCTTCAGTCATAGGTTATCAGTTACTTCTCATATTCTTTATTTATTTATTTTTTTGTTCTTACAGAATAAGGTTAGGTGTATCACACATAAACATGGTTATAAATCACAAACATCACCCAAGGATTCTGAACAAAACGACCATCTCCGAGAAAAGATTCTGCTGAGGTCAACACCTTAAGTTACTAGTTTCTGTTACAAAGTGGTGCCAGCAGCAGCTCCCATTTCACCTGTGCACCCATCTCCTCCAGGTAACAGTTACTGTACAGCACAATGCTGAGCGTTCACGTTGGTGTCGGCCACAGACAGTGAGTTAATGCGCGGCTGTGACCTTTTTTTTTTTTTTTGGCTGTGCCTTTTAGTAGGACATTAGCTCAACAGAACTCTGCATGTACAGTAAAGTCTGCTTTTGGAAGTCACAGCAGTTTCCTTCAGGAACTTTGCATGTTGAACAAAACAGTTTGTGGACTTTACAGTCCCCCATCGACTGTATTGTGTTAGCAAGTGGGTTTTATTGGTCAGTATGAGCAGAAGGAACGACTACAGCAAGAAAAACCTCTTTCACTGCGTGTTTGAGCAAGTGAGTGTTGTTTTCAGTTTCAAAACCCTCTTTTAACTTAGGAGTAACTCACACCTGCTCATTGGTGGTGTACTGTATAAGTTGCATCTTTATGTTAAGACTAATCTGCCCAATGTAACCACTTTGACTGTAGGTGTGTAGGTCCAGCAATGCATTCAAACGACTGTAAGCTACTTTATAAATTAAACTCATAGCTGGTTTAACAGCCTGCTGTAGTGGTAATGCATCTTTATGTGCAAATGATATAAATGTATTATTTCTTATTTATCCTTTATTTAACCAGGTGAGCCTCACTGACATCTCTTTATGAAGAGCGACCTGGCCAAGAGGGCAGCAAATGACTGAGCAGTAGATTATTACAACAGTAGACACAAAACAATACAGATAGACAAATACAACTGATACACACTTCAGTGAACACAGCATCCAAGTATTATAAAATAAAAAATAAAAAAAAACTAAATCCAATTACATAAGCAATGAACAGTCACAATGACCAGTAGTGCTGTTTTCTTTGTCCTCTAAAATGGACTTCAAATGCCCCACAGCAGTCAGTTCTGATAGTTTCAGGTCATCCTGCACATTATTGCAAGAAGAAGATGCAGCATATTTAACTAACTCTGAAGACCAACATCTGTAAAATGCATCTGATTTCAGTATGTACATAAATAAGAGGGAGGGCGGCACAGCTGCGCAGTGGTTAGCGCTGTCGCCTCACAGCAAGAAGGTTCACCAGAAGAAATTCATTCTTTTCCTAACTAGAAACATATTGAGCATGGTTGCCCGTAGTCATATTGTCCCCTTATTTGTCTGCAGCTGAGATTTTATATGACATCGACCACAGCAACCCGGTCGTGTACTCATCTTCCTGAACACTTTCTCCTTTGGGGCACATCAGCGCTGACATCACACAAAGCTATCATTTTGCTTCAGTTGACTGAGAGGCAGTAACCAAGAGATCACACCGATATCAGTGTGAACACAGAGTAATAGTGTGATCAGACTGGGAGATATTACCTGCTGAAGGCATTGCACTAATGTAAACCACAGGTGGTGTCTCAGAGCTCTAATGGGCCACATCATCAGAGCCACTCCTGCTACATTTATTCATCCATCTCTACACAACATTAATTACGTGATTTAATGTGTTTCTTATATGGAGGCATGTTTTTCCCAACAAAACGCCATCTAATATTGATGGTGAGCTGTTTTACTATTAGAGTACACTGCTAAATACAGTGCACCGTAATCTGCAATCTTATTAAACAGTTTGAAGTTTCAAGGGTCATTTTTCTCTGTTAGACATGTCATGTTTACTAATGTTTCAGGTGTTGTCCCACATGCCCAGTATTCAAGTGCTAATGTTTGTTAATGTTCCTTCTGGCTTTGTATAATGAGAGGAAGGGCTGTCATCGAAATGAGCCTGAGGTTCAATCGCCTATTAAATTGGATAATAATACAAATGAGAAGCTCTCAATCCACATGGAGCAGCGCCATGTGTTGTTTGCTTGAAGATGAACAGTGTGATGTGAATGAATGTTTGTTGTTCGTTGTCTAACTCAGTATTTTCGCAAAAGATATTTCCACACAAAATCTGGTCTTGGTACAAATTTAATAGCAGGCTGTGCCAATTGTGACTTCAGAAGAGTTAAAATAAAAATAAACTGTGCTTACCTGTATATTTGTTTGCATTTGCACATCATGCTGTATGTGATCCCCTGCTTGTTTTTCCTCATGTTTCTAACGTGCCGCAGCTGGAAATGTCAAAGCAAGATGACAAAGGCAGCGAGGAGAGCGCTAATCAAACCAGTGTAAGTGGAAAAAGGTTAAGCCCTCCCCACTCTTCTCTATATTGTTCTGTCCTCATCGTCTCTTCTCCCTCCTCCTCCTCCTCCTCCACAGACGTTCCTCTCTAACCTCTCCTGCTGACATGACAGATCATTACAGGCCAATCCCATTCCCTGTGCCTGCATTTGTCATTGAATAAATCATCCAGACACAACTGGGCTAGGAAATAAAGGAGTCATAAAGTCAAAATGGCTCACACATGTGCATGTCTGCACACTGACGCACATTTGCAGGGTGCTGTGGGTTGATTAAAAACAGAACAAAAGCCTACCTGGCATCCTATACCATAAGGGAAAGTAGTGCCTACAGTGCTATGTAGCACAACAAACAGACAAAAACTCATATTCCTCTTTTTTTTCTGCCACCTGTCAGTGATCTGAAACAAACAGCTTGATCACTTGCCTTCCCAGTCTCTTCCCCTCTCTCTCATTTGTTGTTCTTAGAATCATTTCTTCTTAGTGTTTGTGACATGCATTTCATCCCTCGATCAGAAATACAGCTGCTGGCTGGATATATTCCCTCGCCTCATTATCCTCATCGTCTCTCCATATTGATGTGTTGGTGGAGAAACTTTCTGATGTGTTTGTTCCACTTCTTTGTCTTGCCATGCATCAGCTTATATTTAAGCTTGTTTACTTCACATCAGCCGCAGTCAGACCGAGGCTGGTTGCTGATTCATTTAAGATAACACTGTGTGTTTGTGTGTCTGTGTGCAGGAAAACAGTGGTGTCGTGCAGTCAGGAGAAGGAGGGTCCTACAGAGAAGAATCCACCTAGTCCCGTCCACTCCGAGAGAGAAGCTCTGCTAGTTGGTACGCTGACATGACCCTGTACTGCCAATATCATTTTGATGTATTTGCTATATTTTTACCCATGAACTATTAGTGGGAACTACTACAAGTAAGCACACATTATTGTTATAATGCATTTTTAGGGAGATGCATGTTTTGAGGTTTTCCCCAGGTTTTTTCTGTGCGTCAGCTGATTTGTAGCATTTGGATTAACTGCATTTTTTTGGAATATGCATTACAGAAGCACAATATGAAACTGAAAATTTAATTAAAAACTGATAAATGATAAGCACCTTTAAAACACCGGTATGCTTCCGATGAAGCACACTGTACAACACACCAATCAGCCATAACATTATGACCACTGGCGGGTGAAGTGAATAACTGATTATCTCTTTGCAGTGGCTAGTACCTAACGGGACTAAGGAAGGACAAATGGTGAAAGGGTCATGGACACAGAAGGTCACTGATCATGAGGTTGATCTACTTTAGGTTAAACTTTTAAATTGAATTTGTACTTTTCAGAAGATTCTGTTTTGTCTGAGTCTTTGTTAAAATGGTTGAAAATGATAAATACTGTCCATTGGTCTCTATGAAGAGAAACATTCAGCAGCTATAGTGGTGATATCACACCTAGAGAGGGGAGGCTGCTGAATTTGTCAAAAATTATCTCTAACTCGTCCTCACGAACAGTTTTCACTCCTTTTTCACTGAACGGAAGACACCTGTGCTCTTCCTGACAGTAAAAGTAAGAAAGCAGTAGATGCACAGTGAGCTGCAGAGTGACACGAGTGCCAAACAACTGTCACACCTACTCCTGTGAATTCAGTATTCTACAGAGGAGTACTGTGTATTGGGAATACGGTGACTCTAGTGTTAGGCAGGTGGTCATAATGTTATGGCTGATCGGTGTATGTTCTCTGTAACTTTGTAGTGCCCCCAGCCCCCTCATGTGAAGCATACAAAGGCCCTAAGGTGGACACTGCATTACCTCCTCTTGTGGAGGGGTCTGTGTCAAAATGTGGTTTATCTGGACCTTGATTATTTCAAGTTATATTGTGTCTGGATGATGAAAATTCCTAAATATGTTTGTTTTAAAATACCCTTTAATAATTTGGTGTCAGAAGTTATTCCAGCATAGGTTATTAGTTCCTTTCTAGAGCGATAAGCACTGCACTTGGTGGGTATTTTAAGGGACTGAGATAATATAAAATTCACAGAATAGTGGAAATGGTCAGCTCAGTTTTGCCCAGTCCAGGGGCTTACCGTGACCATGACGATGTTGAAAACTGGTAACAGATGTGAGGGCTGTAAAAACTAATGGGAACATTATCTTGCCTTGATCAAAGGACAAATCAAAATCTAATAATCACCGTTTGCATTTATTCTAAGTTGTAAGGCTCAAAGGACACAATAAAGAAATGTGTCAAAGTGCTTAATGATAATCTTTTATCAGTGAAACCTTTAATGCTAGTGTTAATGAGTTCTGACATATTCTGGCAGCCTGCGCACACATGGAGTGGGTGCATGTTGATACAGCAGCCATTTGTATGGTCTGTTGGAGAACATGTTCACTGGCACTTTGAAGCAAATAAACACAGACAGCAAAACCACTCCAGTGGGAGAATTCATGCAAATACATAGGCATGAAATTCTACTTGACGTTGTATCTGAAAGCACCATTAGACTTCCAGTAAGGTGCCTACTCATCATCAGCTGTGCGGCTCCAAAGTAGCACGTTGTCTGTGTTCATGCGTCGACTGGTCTCCTGCAGGTATAGGAGTCCTGGAGTAGAATGATTGTGGTGTTCTTGCTCTAGTGTTGGAGCCACTGGGGGGGTTTGTGACTTTAACACAGTGTGTGTTGTTTCATAGACTGTTAGTTTCAACTGTTGGTCCCTCGATGCTCTATGGGTGGTTAGTAAGCAGAGGTGGAGGATTATCTCCCTCCTGGCCCTGTCTATGAGCTGATAGCAGATGGTTTGTTTGAGCTGGGGGAGAGTACGGCTTTGCTGAGAGACAACGGCATCAAAGCCGTCATTAAACACTCCCTCTAATATGGAGCCACAATATACAAGAGGCTCTTAACAGTACTGGGACTTTGGGAGAAGCCACTTGAAGCTCATGTTACACTCAGCAAGAAGAGGGGAGGAGGAGTTATATAAACTGATGTTTCTGGTGACAGAACTGAAGGCATTTGACATATTTATGTGTTAATACCTTTTCCTGACTTGTTTGTTCGACTTCAGGGATCATTTCAACGTTCCTGCATGTCCACCCATTTGGGGCTAGCATCGAGTACATCTGCTCCTACCTCCAGCGTTTGGACACCAAGGTAACAGACTCATGTGAATCTAAACTTCCACTGTGGAGGATATTAGCAGAGCCGGTCTTCAGCATCACTCTAGATTACACGCACCCATGCAGACATAGTGTCAGTCCCCCCTGCAGAGCTGACATATGGGCTTGTTGTATGCCAGGGTCCTACGAGGGGCCGTCTGAACCGCATAGCAGGACCTGTGCTGTCTGTCAGGGCCCTACTGTGTAGCTGAGGCTCCTTAATGCTTTTCCAATCCTTTCTATAGAAATGGATACACTTTGCAGAGAGTGTCCTAAAATGTTGAACTATCCCTTTAAATAATTAAAAGCTCAATGTAAACTGTATGAACACTAACAAATCTCTTGCCAACCCATTTAAATCTCAGAGCAATGGAAAACATATAGGTAGCAGCCTCTTTTTTCATACCATCTGTGAGTTCAAGTGTTAAAATGACACGACCACCAGATGGTCAAATCTGCTGTCGCTTGTTAACAGCGATTCTGCAGCAGCTAAAATGAAAAGTCTGCGAGTGGACTTGTGTAGTTCAGTAGGGACCAAAGGAGCGGCCACTCCTCCTGTAGAGAAGTGATCTGGCTGACCACCTCATGACAATTTAAGAATCTCCAACTTAAAAGTTTGATTCTTCCTATATCAGTATTGATCATCTAAGAGCTGTCAGTTGGTACCTTCAGTGTTTGGGGCCAGTAGCTCAAGATACAGCAGGCTGCAGCTGTTTATTAAACATTAACCAGGCTGCCTCTAGAGCTGTCGAGAAAGGCTTCTGAGTCGATATTGGTTTTGAAGTCAATAAACAGAGGAAACTTTCATAACAAATATAGTCACATGAAGCACATAGTCAAACAGCACCAGAAACAATTAGACATGTAGAATCTCAAATCCTCCAAAAGCCTGAAACAGAGAGAGTTTCTCTGACTTTTTATTTGTCCAGAAATGTCAAAGCTATAACTGATTATATCTGGATAGAACACGGTAAAACCAGCTCCTGAATTCTAACCCTTTAATCCAGAAAACCCTTGATCCTCACACATCCTTACCTTCCACTCTGTCTGGCAAAGCACAGCTGTTTTATCCCTATTTTTCTGTGGAGGTATTTCAAGCATATTATCGCTCCTCACTGCCACTTAGACGAGGCTTTCAAAATGCTAGCTTTCAACGTCACTGTCAGAAGGTAACACCGAGGTTAACGTCCATTTTTGCTCTCCACCCTGACATGAAGACCTCCAGGAAAAATGGCAGGTGTCAGCGCTCCCTTTGCAGTCACAGCCACTGACCAAACAGAAGGCACATTAAACATCCAGGGTGAAACACTCAAAGTTTCAGACTCATGATGATTTGGAAAAATGTATTTATCTACAGAAACTTTGTTGCCCCAAGAAATGTAGCAGCTCTTTGAATATGCTCATCACTGTCTTGACTCATTCTCACTTTCTCGCACATGCAAAGAATAGCATGTCATGCCTTTAGGGTTTTTGTCTAGTATGTCTGTGTTATTCATGTGTTGATATGTGTGTGTTTGTGAGCCTACACCCACGTGTGCATGTCTGCGTGCGTCTGAGTTTGCCTGTGCTTGTTGTTTCCACACCGACTCTCCGCTACACATATCTAACAGCCCACTGAGTTGTGTCAATATCAGCCACAGGACTCCCCAACAACAAGCCCAGTCCCCTCTGCTTATCTACCAGCTCCACACACAGGTCCGTTGTCTGTAATGACACACCAGTGCTATCTCTGTGATGGGCGTTAATGCATCCTGACATCGGCATGGTGCTCGAGCAATCTAGTTATTAATGCAAGGCACTATGGGCTGTCTATAGCAGCTCATACAGTGGATCCTGACAGTGTCACCTCAGGGTTTCAGTTGACCAATGAGTCTCAGCCCTCCTGAAGATTATGCTTAGACAGGTGACTGCCGGGCCTGTCGCTATACATGTGATTCTCCCGTTGCAGTGGAAGTGTAAGCATAGTAAGTAAATGTTGTCTTGTGTGAGTAGAGAGGTGGGGAGCATGTAAACAGAAGTATGGACGCATGAGCAATTACCAGGTAACTCATGTCCTTGATCCACAAGTGTGAAGGATCTCTAGATTTGTGATTTTAGCATCAATCCAAATCTAAACCTCTGGTCGAAACTGTGCAGGAACCGATCTAATAACTGATCTGTACAAGTATAAGATCTGTATAATGTATGTAAATTGTTTGGGAACCATGGCACACAAGTGAGATTTTACCCTCATCAATCACCGTCAACATCTATTTAAACTGCAGTTTGTTGTGTTTGTATCCTGCTGTGTACTTTGTCGGTTCATTAAGACCATTGAAAAGATCCTACAGTCATTCCCTCAGTATGTTGCTGTAGAAGATGTTTTGTTTTCATCCTTTATTTACCTGTTTGTCATTATTCATAACATGCTATCAATTTGCAGCCTAATACTATTACCGGTTTTTCTCCATGAGCTTGTTGTGCCACCAGAGAACATAAATATGCACATAGGAAACAAAATGTTAAATGACCACGTGGGTGCATTCGTTTGATGTCACCATGTGGGTCCTGATGATGTGCGGAGGATGCAAGATGACCTCCCCAGATCCGCCCCATCAGTGCATTATGGGGCCTACATGCTGCATGTGTCACTACGCTTGAGGCCCCGTCTGCAGCTGTGTGCATGTGGCCCCCAACATCTGTGTTTTCAGACTTGCAGAATGGGGCTTTGTGGAGCTGCAACTGCACTTCAGCACTACAGAGGGAAGGAGATTCTGGAAGAGGAGTTGTTCATGGTATTTGTGTGTCAGAGAACCAAAATGATGGTCTGTTTGTCCTCTAATCTAGAGATGGGGAGGATATAGAGAGTTCATTAAACCGATGGGCCTCAAAGATGATGAGATGTGGGTGCATGTGTGAACTTTCCTTTATTTTGTCTAACCCTGGTCTGCTTTGTGTGCATGTGTGTCTGCAGATTAACCCAGGTGAAGTCGAGGCTCTTCTCTCTCGGTTGCCCTGCACCTTCAGACAGGAGCTGACCGGTGTCGGAGCAAGTCTGGAGAAACGCTGGAACTTCTGCGGCTTCCAGGGCATCAAGAGCACATAGAATCTGCTGGTGACACTTCTGCGATGTGGCAGAGATGACAAACAGACAAAGCAACGCAGACACTGTAGAGATGTGAAGGAAACAGTATAAAGCCCACAAATATCAAAGTTGCCCGATTGTACCTGACTGTACAAGGACACAGAAGACTGAGTCTCGGATCAGAAGGAATGTTACATGAGCGTTTCAGGGACACTTTGTAGTCGGTAGCGATGTAAAATCACAGCATTTCCATGGTTACATGAATGTTGACACCAAACCACGGTGAAGTCTTCATGAGGTTGAACTCTGTTTCTCAGTGTCTCTATAACACGATTTAGACATAACGGCTGTCTGGGAGACACAGAGGAGCACTGGTTTCTGCAGTCACTGGATTATTATATAGTTGTCACTCACATGGGCAGGGCATTTGTTGGCTCTGTGTGCTGTAAGTGTTGGCCAGGACTACAGGGCACACCAGGGAGGCTTACCAGGGTCTAACTGAACACTTCAAAACTCTTGAGAACCTTTTGGCCTCCATGAATTCTGTTTTTGCTGTTTCTGGTTTGTAACATATATCAAAATGAATATATTTCTTCATTTTCTGTAAAGGCTGTTAACAGTTACATAGAATCATTTGTTGTAATACACTGTAAATGCTTGAATGATATTTTTGATTATAAAAAGACATTTGAGTATATACTGTAAAAATGTTTATTTTTGGTTATATCTGACATCCAGAGAGTCTGGTTGTAAACGTGTGTGTGATTCCAGTGAGGTACAAATGAATCACTATCTGTCCTGGGACACACATGCATGGACACAAGCCAGTCGCCATTCTCAATTGAAGGGTGTTTTCATATCTACCTTGTTTGCTCTTGTAGAAGCTGTACTCAAGGCTGATTTTAGGACGTTCCATAAGGATGTTTGTGTCGTTGAAAAGCCAATTAAGCCTGGCTTTCAGCCTGGCTAAAGGCATAGCACAGCTGCATTGTACTTAACTGGGAAACACACCTAGGGGATCATGTTAATGATGTTTAACTGGGGAGGCAGTTGGTGTGTGTGCAGCTTTTGGCAGGGTGTATATGCATAATATTCATGTACTATTTGCCTGGATCCATATATTGCATTACGCAACACATTCCAGAGGAGAGTTTTCCTTTTCTTCTCAGAGCACTCCTGCCGCCAGGACCCGAGGTTCCTCCTGAAAGCCCAGTCAAGCATCCTTAATGTGCCTCCGCTGGTCTATTTGGCGGCTTGCTCTCTTCCCCCGTTGCTCTGGGAAACAAAGCTTTATTATAACACATGATTTGCTCTCGTTGGCCTCCTCCGTTTCCTTCAGGCACTGCATTTGAAAAATCAGCATTCATGCACTTGTCACCACACTAGTCCTTGTACCTGAATTAATAATGGAGAATGAGTATGTTTTGTCTACATGCTCCTCCAAGGCTTTCCATCTGTACAGTTATATCCATTATTAACAGCAGTGGTTTGAAAGAAAAGAGGATTTCATGGTGAAGAATAAACTGTCGTGGGTGTGGAGTCATTGCCATGTTAAAGACATGTAACCTCCAGCCCACATAGTCTATAGGCCTCTGTCAAGCGTGATGAGGAAAGAGAGTGAATGCTGGTGCTGTACTGTACAACATGGTTTTTCATGTAGTCTCATAGTAATGTCCAAGAGCAAAGATCTGTTAAAAACATGTTCAAGTTATTTGTTATAATGACGCTTCGAATAGAGTGCAAATCCCTACTTTTCAGCTTCTGCCTGCTTGATGGTGCATTTGGGATCGTGAGAGATGCTGCCTTTGCAGAGCTGTGCATCACTATAATCTCTCCACACTGTAAGACTTGATCTCTGCACAACACCCCTGATGACAAGCTCTTGAACGCCTCACACCAGCCTCTCCTTTTGCTCATTAGGTCTCTGACTTGCTCTCCCTGGCATAAAAAAAAACTCTAGTATTCTTTTCTTTCAGAAGCTTTGTCTAGCATTTCCTCCCATCTGAGTTGCCGTTCCTACGCACTGATAGACTGGAGGCAATTTACCTCTTTACAGCTGTTTCTGTGTGCGTGTGCGCATACACAAGCATGCTTGTGATCAGTGTGTACATCAGGTTCTCAAGCATCACACAAGGAGGTAAACACAGGCTAATTAAATCCACCAGTAGTCCCTGGTGAATGGCGCTCTCCATTCACTGTTGTCTTCTCATCACTGTGACACAGTGAGGATCCTCTTCATTTATTCAGTTCAAGGTGTATGCAAGCGAAACCTATTTAGGGGTGTGATTTACCTCACCAGCAGTGATAATGCCATAGGACAGCTCCACTGTGAAGTCTCTGGGAGAGATGTGTTGAAGATGCCCTTGGGCATCAACTGATGTTAAGCTTGAGCAGCTGCTGAGCCTGAATTCTAAATTTAAGTGCATTGCCGACATTCTTATAAATCCATTTATGCATACTTGCATCATGTTAAACATGGGTAATTGGACATGAGGACATAACCAGGCTCTTTTGGGAGATATAACGATGCTTGAGATGCCCTTAATTACCTTTTCCTCTCATGTTGTTTCCTGAAGGCATCCTCAGCTCCTTAATTATGATTATTGCCTGCCTTGGGCGAGCAGGTGAGAGGATAGTGGCTTGTATACAGCATGTGGCCTAAAATAAGACAACCACCCCAAAAAGTGGATTAGAAGAACACAGAGGGGCCTCAATCCTAAGCCTGTTCATGGACCAACAGATTTGCAGTAGAAGAGACGGCTCGGCGTCTCACAGAGCAGCGTACTGCTGGCTTGGCTGTCACCAGATAAATCACTACATATCTAAATCTTAAGTTGATATACCACTGAATAAAGCTCAAAAAGCCTGGTGACATGAAGGTGAGTCCACAGCTCCTCCTATTGAGCACCATCGCAGCTACACCTCACACTGTAGTTTTTCAGCCAGTGGGCCAGCACTGGGGGCTGATTTGCATTGACAGCGGGTGTACGGCCACAGCGCTGGCGGACATGTTCATGCAGGTTTCGTTCTCATTAAAAACTGCACAGTCCTCATTCATGTATGCATGCATAAAAGTTCCTAAATCTGACTCTTATTTCCAGGGTGCCAGGGCTGCTGTGCAGAGATGCAGAACAGCTCCAGAAACACTTGCCTGCAGGCACTTGGAATGACATCTTAGAAACCAACGACTATGGAATATTAACACTAGAACTAAAGAGATTCCCTTTTTTGAGGATTATTAGAAAATTATGTTTTGTACAATCTTTTTGTTTACTGCATTCTGGTATGCACAGAATTGCATAAACCTTTAGCTTGAATGAATTGCAAGTGTTGGAATTATTGCTTTACACTGTGCTCTTTGGGGTGTCTGGGCACAGGATTTTAAGGTTGCAGACTTAAGTGGAATATGACACATAATGCATCTCACTTTCTACCCATTCTCCCTTTCCTCTATTCTCTTATATGTAGATTATGATACAAAGTAGGAAAGAGTTGAAAGCACAGACGTGAATGCCCATAAGTTATTTTCACCCATTAAACAGGCTGCATCAGATCTAATACCCAGATCCTAGGTGAGAGAAAGGGCATATGGATGAGTTACTGTAGAAGTCTTGTTTTTTTTTTTACTTTGGAAAATGTATTAATGGGATTCTAACTGTCTTGGCTGTATAATACTGTTCACTGGTAAGGAACTTTCTTGGCCAAAGATCATTCTGCCGCGAGGTCCAGCAGTGGTATTTCTTCCCCATTAGATGGTGAAACCAGTGGGCCTGATCAGTGTGTTTGATCTGAAATGCCAGTAGCTTATGCCAGGTTAGACAGAACAGTGAAACTCGCTCCTAATGAGCGATGGCCACTCTTCCTGCTTTTATGATTCCAGTGACCTTTACCAAAGAAGAGCTGGTTTCCACCGGCAGCAATTATCTGCACAGTAGAAACCTATGTGAGAGAAGTTTATATTTGGATATAAGAAGTGGTTTGGTTGGCATGGGTTCTTTGATGTGTTCTCTAGTGGCCTGAGAGACTCATTTTAAGTATTTATGTTATGCACCAATGGTGAGACCAAAACCTTGATTTAAACATTCATCTCATCAACCACAAGATACAACATTAGATTAAATATACCAATCTGTACATCACTTTTTTTTATGTCCTGTCTAATAAAGGTCTGCATATCTGTCCAAGACCTCCCATGACCCAGGAGGTAGAGTGGTCGTCCCCCAACTGGAAGGTTGACTGTTTGATTCCCATCCTCCCCAGTCCACATGTCAAAGTGTCCTTGGACAAGACACTGAACGCCAAGTTCAGTAGCCAGATCAGCGCCGCCACTGGTGTGTGTGAGTGTGAGTTGGCACTGCAGATGGCCTGGTGTTGCCAGTGTGCTCCAAGATAGCAGCCTAGACCAGGAACACAACTCTGCTGAGGGTTTGTAGCATCTGTAATTAGTACCATAGCAGGGTTATAAAATAATAATAATAATGATGGTGTCTTCAAGTGAGGTTATGTTTACAGGGTTTATGAGCCACTGGCAGGACCCAACTCCCACTAATTCTATTCAAGGCTTGTAATTTAAAGAGTAACCATAAGAGGAAGCAGATATGTGGTCAGAGAGAACAAGCTACACTATCTGAATATGACTACATGGGCTCAGATTTTATAGACAAGACTATTCATTGAATAATAGAGAAAATCACTATTATTTGCAGCCTTAACTGGAAGTCAGCGTCACTGGCTTTCAGTTTACTGATGTGGCAAACGTGCACTCAGGAACTTGCCATGGTAAACCTATGGAATTCACTGTTGTTTACAGTGCAGATGAGAGAGAACCAAAGACAGACAGAAAGACCTTGAAGTGAAATGAACCTTTACTCACCAAACACAATAAACAAAAGCCATGGTCACACTGAGTCGTCTATACAGATGGCACACACCAAAGCAGTACAAGCCTGTTGTAGATTTTCACTCAGTTGCTTCAGTCAGTTTTAGTCCGTCCTCTAGTCCTCTCCATCACATTTTTAACAGCAATGGAGATATTCATAAATATGACTTCCTGCATGAGGAATGCTTCACCTTCACCTTTACAGTAATGTGAAAAGCCACTTTTATGCCTATATCCTTGCCTACCCAAATCCTGCAACATTTGCAACTTTTCCTCTTTGTTGCACTATGTAAAGAGCAAATCTGCATTCTAATAAATGCCAATCAATTGAAATGTGCAATGCTACTGATGGATTTATGATTATTAATGGAATTTGACTACTCTCCTCAAAGAAACAAATGAGATGTGCTAGAATATTTGAAGTACAATCAAGTTAGAATGAATTTGTAAAGAACACTGAGCTACTGTTCACAAACACCTAGCTAGCTTGTATTTTGCTCTTCTGCAATTTTTTTTTTTTTTTTTTCTCTTATGGATAACTGGCCCATTGTGAGCAATGTAAAGTCTAGTGGGGGGGTTTTTTTCCAGACTTTAATGGAAGGAACATTTCCAGCTTACCATTTTGCACCTGCATTCAACAAACACTATCATAGAAGTGACAGAGAAACCATTCATTTTGGACATTAGCCTCAGCAGGCTATAAATAGTGGAAATGTCTACCCTACAGCAAAGTTCCCAGCATGGTGAGGGACTGTATGAAGATATGGTGTCAGGACTGTGCAAAGGTGAACAATGAAAAATTATAAATAGTGGTAAAAGCACTATGTTTGAAGCTCGAGGCTACTTTGTATAAGTTTCAAGTGTCTGGAGCTTTTGATTGAGGAATCATCCCCACTTATAAAAAACATGTACAGATAGTCATTTTTTATATGTGTCCATCAACGCCCACATAGCCCTGCTTAAATCATGTAATACTGGCATAAAAGAAAAGGTGGTGTGGTCATACTGTGCTCCAGACTCAACCATGACTTGGCAGTTATCATAAATGTCCCAGGAGGTTGCCTGCGAAGTCCAGATTCAGAGCATTGATTGCAGAAGTTCAGCAAATTTCCCAGCTCAGTAAAGTGAGACCCTGTCAATTTTCTTCACTATTTCTTCTATTGCTTTTTCTGTCTGTCAGCGGTGCAGAGAAGGCTGCCGGCGAGATTGCATCACTGTATTAAGTCATACTGATACTGCAGGCATAGTAGAGTGTAAAAGCTGTTGAAATTCATCTTATGTTTTCAGGCTGCCCAGCAACTATGGATATAACTTTATTAGCTTCTTGTCTCTTATCTAACTTTACAGACATAAATTCATATTGGTGAACATTTCTTAGGACAAAAGCTTCTATCAAACAACATGCATTATAATTCTGTTTGCCTTAACACATATGGAGTTTCCTTTAGCTTGATTTAATCACAGACACTGGATGTACACCAGCTGAAGTTGTTACTGTACAGGTTGATGTAGGCCCCAAGACTTGTGCAGGTTTGTGCATGACAATCGGCCTTTTAGCGTGCATGCTAAATATACAATAATGCTTGAGGAGATACAAACGCACACTGAACTGCAAATATGCCCACACTGGCATGAGGTTTAATCTGTTTGCTCATCCTTAGGAAGTAGTATTTGCCGCGACAGTGACGTCAACAGCAGGAACTCTAAGCTAAACTGCAAGCTGTTGATTTGAATCAGAGTTTCAGCTTCAACAAAGTGGTTTCATCAAACAGTCAGCCTTTCTTCTATTTGTTCAAAATCTAAACACATTGATATATGCAATGTACTCCAAACCACAAGTTGGTAAAGCAGATTTTAGTTAGATGGTATTGATGTAGTCAAAGTTTGTAAGCTGGTTGCAGACATTAACTCATTCTCCACCATGTTCCACTCTGCAACCTTTCAGGGGTATTTACTGTAAAACACAGAGGTGGTGCAGACTTTGCATGTTTCACACAAGCTAAGAGATCTATGGGGCAAAGTGTTATAGGTTGTGCTCATACAACATGGGTTGTATGAGTGTTATATTTTTACATAGTAAACGTGAAGAGAAATAGTAAATCCAAGCAGCACCTATCTGGGCATGTTTGGCACAAGAGCAGCTGTGCCTTGGTTGCCTCAGGGAGAAACATCTGCCCACACACCAGATGCAATACGGAAGTTGACCTGAGTGTCTTCATTTCTGCTGCACCTAACCTGTTTTTCCGAATTTCTTTACTGTTGCTGTGGAACCAGCCCTGTTATGTTTCTGACACAAAGGCAAGACTTGCACAACAGGCAGATAAAAGCCATAAAGCTCCTTCCTTAAGTCAGTCAGGGTTGGTAACAGGCAGGCAGTCGGAGAAGGCAAGGGAAACCTTTACATAGGAAAGAACATACCACACACTTTTAGACAGTCTGCCAAATTAATACAAGAACTGGGCCTGCAACAGCCACAAGAGGCAGGTGAAATGCAAAAAAACATTACCAACAGTAGCCAGAGCTGCCCAATAAAACCCTGAGACCCATAACGTGTATAATTGGTCTTGTTCATAATTCACAGTGTGAGTATTTAAAAAGATTCTGGGGTCTGTCGGAGGTTTCTTCCGTTAAAGGGAGTTTTTCCTCCCCGCTGTCGCCAAGTGCTTGCTCAGGGGGGATTTGTTGGGTTTTTCCTATGTAATAATATTGATAACAGTAAGGTCTAGACCTTACTATGTAAAGTGTCCTGAGATGACTTTTGTTGTGATTTGGCGCTATACAAATAAAATTTGATTTGATTTGATTATAGGAGTGAATGAATAGCTAAAACATTCCTACATTTCAGAAACACAGTATTTATTGTGGACAGTTCAACTGTGATGAAGCTTGCAGTAAGGCCTATATCTCTGCAATACATTCTCCAATAATGAAAAATTGATGTGCCAGCAAGCCTCATTTTACCTGTGTGTATTGTACTAAGCTGGATGTACTTTTTCTTGTAGCTTTCTTGTTGTTTGGATTTGTTTTATGCTCTTGTTTGTGTGCAAGTCCAAGGCTGATGAATTACCATTGCTTGACTGCTTTGGCCTATTAGGAGTGAGCTTATTTCTATAGCCAGCTGGGTTTAAGGTCTTTATCATTTATACGAGAACAACGTGAAGTGACCGTAGAGAGATTTTACTATTTATCTGGCAGATTTTGCCTTAGTCTAACTTATCCATGCTCCTGTCAGCAGAGGAAACAAAGCACAGCAGTGAAACTCAGTGGTGGAAGAAGTACTCAGATCTCTTACTTAAAGCTACAGTATGTAACTTTTTCAAATATTTTTGTTGTAGAAATTTGCTCCAAAACTTAAATGTGGAGAGGTGCCTTCGAAGGCTCCTGTGACCCAGACTCACTGAACAGCTCTGGCAGCAGTGCAGAGATATTAGCTTCTAAAAGGTTTACAGTGGGTTGATTGATGGGTTGGTGGATTGATTCAGAGTTTCGTGCTAGTGCTGCCTTAAGTTACATATTTTGGGGCTTTAAGTAAAAGTAGCAAAAAACTGTAAACGTCTTGCACTCAGAATGTTACTTAAGTAAATGAACAAAAGTATTAGTTACAAAACATACTTAAAGTACTAAAAGAAAAAGTGCTCATTATGTAGAATGGTACATTTAACATTAATGTATATCATATTATTGTGTTAGAATTTCTGATGCATTATTTTGTATATCACATTTAATGTTGCAGCTGGTAAAGGGGGAGCTAGTTTTAACTACCTTATATGCTTTTAACTTGAATTACTGCAGCTGAATTTCCCACCAGGGATCAATAAAGTCTTATTATCATACTTTATTTTTTGCATTAATTTGGTTCTGAAAAGTAACTAAAGTTATAAGATAAATGTAGCAGAGTAAAAAGTACAATATTTGCATCTAAAATGTAGTGAAGTCAAAGTATGAAGCAACAGAGAATGAAAATGCTCAAGTACAGATACCTCAAAATTCTACTTACAGTAAGTAAATGTACTTGATTACTTTCCACCACTGGTGAAACTCTCCCAGCCAGCGACAGCATTTTTATTACTTGATAATATAACTTGATAATTGCAGGCTATCACAACATCTGAAGCCCTTGTCACCCCTGTTAAGCTGTGCCATTTGGGGTTTTCGACTGATATGTTCACACAATTTGTGATACATTATTATTTCATAATGTGCTTCATTAGATATAAACATGAGGCAGTGTGTGATAATTAAAGAGAGTGGGATGGCCTTTTGTCATGTAGGTTGTGTTTACAGAGGTAGTGCTATCAAAATGTGACCATACTGGATTTTTAAACTGGCATTTTCATGGATTGGTGTTGTGTGCAGTGTCAGGCAAATACAGTCACACCCACACTCAGTCGGTCACAAGCGCCTCTGTGTGAGTTCCCACAGTGGTCTGAATTATATAGTAAATTATAGCTAAAGCATGTTAAAGAAGAACAGAAACATTTTATAAATCATAATTTAGCTTTACCTCAAAGGTTTGTCATTTTCAATGAAAGATACAGTGACGTAATAAAACACGTTAGGATAAAAATAACCAGAGATGAGTACATGTGGTGGTTATACGTACCAATATATCGGTACTAAGGAAATGATAAATGATTAGTCAATTATTTAATCAACATAAAATTATCTGGCAGCTATTTGATCTGTTTAACAAAAATGCCACACATTTAATGGTTCCAGGTTCTCAAATATGACAATTGGCTTATCTTTCATTATCTCTCTGGTCAGAAAAAACAGGTGATCTGACGACATTTTAAAGTTTTCCTCAACAGAGGAAAACATAAATCAGTTAATTAAGAAAAAGCAGTGCAGATGAAATTAGTAAAATAACTTAGTTGCAACCTGATAATGCCTATGAATGATTATGACTGTTTACAACCTATGAAAATAAAATATAGCCAATACAAGTTTGACCAGACAGAGATTATGATTTATAAAATGTTTCTGTTCTTCTTTAACATGCTTTAGCTATAATTTACTATATAATTCAGACCACTGTGGGAACTCACACAGAGGCGCTTGTGACCGACTGAGTGTGGGTGTGACTGTATTTGCCTGGGTGTGACTGTATTTTGGTTGTGAGCAAATAAAATACAGTAGTTATGAAAAAAAAAACACCTCCCTGAGCTCCAAAAGTGGGCCTCCACATTTACATTCACCTCCTTTCCCCTTAGACATACAAATAGTTCTAGTATAACAATGATGTCCAGTCTCCAACAATCTGAAGCAAATTATTACAGAAGAACACGCCGGGGGGAGATTGTTTACATTTCATTTTCTGTCGTTTTAATCGTAATTGTGATGTGTTGATAAGTCTTTAAACGAGTAGAATGCATGTCTCCTTCACTGGAGGATACAAAGCTGCTTCCTCCTTGTATAAGTGCTTTACGTGTTGGTCCTTCTTTAGTAACCAGAGGCCCCGCCCCCTGTCTCGAGCATCAACTTCCTCGTTATTACTGGCGTTGCCACGGTGACTGCGCCGCACCGTCGCCGGTTGGCGGAGCCGCTATGACGTCAGAATCGCCTCGGGATTTCCTCTCCCCTTAGGTTGTCGGTCGTCGCTGGCGGGGAGAAGCGGCACGCACTGAATACGCGTGAGGCGTCTGGTTTACCAAGTTTTTTTCCCCGTACTTTGTGATCAAATCCCCGCTCCGCAGCTGAAGAAGACGTGTCCGTGTGGATGTAGAAAAAAAAGTTTAGGTTTAATGACCAAACTTACAGGAGACACCATGTTCAGCTGCGTTTCCTGCTCATAAACACAGCATCTGACATCGGTACTGCTACTAAGGTGACCCAGCAATGTAAGTGTATTGTTAATGAAAAACTAAGTGAGCTAAAATAGGTGATTTTACCAATTACCACTCCACTGCAAAACTACAACTCATGTGCTGATAGTAATCGTTGTAATACTGAATTATTGTCATGGTGATGACCAACTGTAACTGACAATGATTACTCAAACTAGCTACGCAATTACGCAGTTTTTCTAGCAGAAAGTATTTGTCACTGAAGTGATGGCTGTGTAAGACAGAAGTGGTGGGAAGTAAAATCTATATCTTATGTTCTTTGACCTTTTTGAAGCTGGTTTGCTTACAGGAGCAGTGCTGATGATCTTTTTATTGTTTTGGAAACATGTAAAGTCAGCTAAAAACACAGCAAACAAACCGTTCAAAACTTAGACATTACAATAGCAGTTGTAGTTAACATATTTGTGTATCATAACTATAACTTTGTCCCTAATTTCTAGTATTGCTTTCTCATGGCTTTGTCTTGCATGCATTGGTATGTAAGCTCTTATTCTGTGGATTATTTTGTGCCAGTTAACATTGCGACGGGTTGGTTTGGGCTTCTTAACAAGTTCATACCTAAGCACCTTATTAATTTGTTAATCTAAGGAGCCGTTTTTAGTTGGGTTCATTTTATTTAGGCAGTTATTGTAATGCAGGACTACCAGGTTCTTGACTGTAATGGATGGCAGATGGTCTTTCTTTAAAGAAAGCTCTGAGAAGTTCACAGCCATGTGATAAACTTCACATGATAAAGGCACGAGGGCAGCAGAAGGAGACAAAATGTTGCTTTTTATTAACCCAAGAGTTTAGTTCCAGTTGCACTTTTATATTAACATTAACTATTTGTTGCAGTCTGTTTCTCTGTGTCTGTTATGTGACCCTGTTTGTGCTCCTGCTGTCTGCATCCAGTCTCATAACTGGCATAACAGGCAGCCTGCACCTCATGTAGAGTCTGGCTGACCTTGTCACAGAGCTTTGCTATGGTAGGGATCGGTAACAGTGTATGGACATCTTGGCAGACCCCTGGACTGCTGGCAGGCTGTCTTTAAATAGATGAGTACTTTAGTTGTTTACCAGAGAAAGGTCATGACCTCTGAACAAGGTGATTTTTTTTAATACGTCTATCTGTGTAGAAAGTGATTCAGCAAAACACTGCTCTCTAATAGGGTAAGGAACACAGTGCTGGTTGCAGTGTTGTATTGATCCATTTTCCCACTAAGAGGTTATCTTAATATGTCAGATTGAGTGTTTTTCTTGAAGAAAAAACAACTGAAGCATTAAAAAATTGTTTAAAACTAGAAAATTGCATTTTCTAAAGAAAATGCGTATGGATGCTGAGTGCTGAAAGATCGCCCTGAAAATGCTGAATATTTTGACACCTGAATGCTTTTGCTAGCTGAAAGCATGCTGAAGTAGAATTTTCCCATTCATTTGAATGGGGCATGATTTTCAAAATAAAGCTGAATATTTAAAATGTATGAAGTTTAGGAAAGTTCGGAATAGTAGTATGAATGTCCTTGAAGAGCTGAACATTTTGATAGCTGAAATTATGCTGAAGTTGAATTTTCCAATTCATTTGAATGGGGCAAGATTTTCAAAATAAAGCTAAATATTTAAAATGTATGAAGTTTAGAAAACTTCTGAATAGTACTATGAATGTCCTTGAAGAGCTGAACATTTTGATAGCTGAAATTATGCTGAAGTTGAATTTTCCAATTCATTTGAATGGGGCAAGATTTTCAAAATAAAGCTAAATATTTAAAATGTATGAAGTTTAGAAAACTTCTGAATAGTACTATGAATGTCCTTGAAGAGCTGAACATTTTGATAGCTGAAATAGCTGAAAGTTTGCTGAATTAGAATTTTCCCATTCATTTGATTGGGGAAAAAATTTTCAGAATAAAGGTGAATATGTCAAATAGTATAAAATTTACCAAAAAGTTGTATACATCCGTGCATGTCCTGAAAAAGCCGAACATTTTGATACCTGAATTGCGTTTCTAGCTGAAAGTATGCTGAAGTAGTTAAGTGCCAAAAAATGTACGGAAGAATAATATTAATAAAGAAATAATTGGAAGACATAGTATGGATGCTGATTCAGCATCCATACAATAAATATTTGGAGTTTACATTTTATAAAGATGTTTTTTTTAATAGAACAGAAATGATTAGCAATTAATCAACTAGTCGACAAATGCAAAATGAAACAGCAGTCATTTCAAATATTAAATCAATTTTCAAGCAGCAATGCCAAAAAAATGACTAGTTGCATCCATACAAGTGTTAAGTTTTGCTTATCTTATATAACTGTGAATAATATGTTTTGGTTTTGGGCCATTTGATCAGAATAAACGTCACCTTGAGCTCTTTGAAAATGTTGATGGGCATATTTCACTAATAATAGTTTATAATAACAATGGAAATATAATTGCTTAATCAAGAGAATCAGTTTGTCAGGGACCAAACAGTAAGGCAGAGGACACAGCTTCTAAAGTTCCAAAACAATGGGCTTTTTATTAACCCAAAAGTACGGAAAAATACAAACAGCATCAATATCAACCAAACTGGGCCCTAAAAGAGGTCAACAGAAGATAAAGAAACTCAAAATACAGCAAACTGAACTGTCCGATACCACAACAAAAACCAACTTTTGTCAGAACTGCCCCCCCATCCATGGACCAGGAAACACAGTAACTTAAGAAAAAAATTACACATATTAATCAAACGTGCATGCCTCAGTGATCAATTGTGCAGTGATGACGAGATGAAGCTTCCTGAAGTATTGAAGCCTTCCTGCCAGTTGGTTTGCACAAGGGTTCATTTCTGGAGGCTTCATGTGCTCACACACCCCCTGCTGGTCAAAGACTGTAAGACAGGCAGATGTCATTTTAACTGTATGTGATACTCTCAAAGCTGTCTTGCCACAGTTTGGGCGTGGGAATAATGACATTTTTCTCTTGTGAGCACAAGATAATAACCCATTCAAACCATGTGTTTTTGTCTCCCCTTAGTAACGTGTTTGTGCTTGTTTGTAAATTGCGTGCATAAGACTTTCTTGACTGATAAACTCTAATTGGTGTTCCACATACCAAAGTGAACCTCCTCCTTTACATCAGTAGCTGAGAAAGTCATGTATGTTTTCAAACTGTGGCAGTGTTAACAAGGAAGAGGTGCTTGTGAACAGAGAAGGGCAGTGAAGGTGCTTGTGCAACTGATGTAAGGGGACACATTATTCATTTTTATTTAAAAACAGTATTTGTTCCTCTTATTGAAAATACTTACCTCGAGAACTCTCACAACTCCAACACTACCCACGAATTGTGTGCGATTCCTTGGGCTTTATATCTGCTGCTCCTCACGCGTCGAAGCATCGGCACAGTATGATCCATCACTATTATGTATGTCCAGTGTCAAAGAATAACTAACCTTCACTACAACTTAAAACTACACACGTCAACAAAGAAAACAAAAGATTACCCAGCCAATTCTACTGCTGTTGGTGGTTTAGGCCCTCACACGGCGAAGGCCAGGGCTGAGGCATTCACACAGTTCTAAAAATAATTGTTTGTTGCCACACTAATTTTCAATGATTATTTCAGTTCATTTGTCTGTAAGAGCTTTTTGAATAATTTTCCACTGTTTCTAAAAAAAAAAAAAAAAAAAAAAACTAGATGAATTGGAAATAAAGATTTTTCTCTGCAGAAGCGCCACCATGTTCCAAGAAGTAAAAATCTGCAGCTGCATATGTTCAGGTTGTTGTTGTCGAAGATCTGAAAGTTATTTGCAATTTAATTTGGTTTTGCTGTTCTCTCCCCCAGAGGGTCTACTATGTTCCCTGATGCCCTTGAAGCAGCCGGGCAGGTGGAGAGCCTCCCACCGCCGTCCCCAATACCCCTATCAGAGCTGGAGAAAGAGGAAGCAGAAGCATCGGTCGAGAGGGGGCCAAAGAGACGAGGACGCTACCGGCAAAGCCTGCAGCTTTTAAAGCCCTTCAGGATAACTCAAAAGTAAACAAAATTATATCTAAGCTCATGTGGTGACTCTCTGACAGTGGGCCGGATAAAAGTAAACAGACAGGGTTTTAGGCAGATAGATACTTATTTAAAGACAAAGTTCATGTTGGTGTTGTTTACACACTGTCTCGTGTTGATTGCTAGGGAGTAGCAGGAGGCCATGATAAGGGATGGGAACTTATCCCCCAAAACAGACAGCACCCTTTTTGAACATATGCCAGCTGATAAACTGCCCCTAAACTTTTCTCTCTCAGATTTTATGAGTGGCATGCAAATTACTATTCAAACACTGTAGGCATGATTCACCTTTCAGTCGACTCTGTCGAGCAAAGGCGCCGCTTAGCTCTCAGTGGCTGATGAGTGCCTGCTCCCCCAGCATAGCACCTGTGTGTGTGTCTGCACTTTTAGACATCTCACCCATTTCCACGTCTTCCTTTCTATTCCAGGCACCAGCACCCAGTTGATAATGCTGGCTTCTTCTCATTTTTGACTCAGCACTGGCTCTCCCCACTGGCACTGAAAGCCTACAAGAAGTCCGGCTTGTCTGTAGATGATGTGTGGGGACTGTCTTGCCACGAAGTCTCTGAAATCAACTGCCAAAGGTGAGGTCACTGTTACACTGCTGAGGTTTGCCTGCTGACACTGACCTATTGGTGTTTGATTTTAACACTCAGTATTCCCAGAAAACTATGCCTGGGATGAGACCTGGCATTAAAAGGGTTTGTCTAAAGGTGAGGCTGTCACATGAGAATAATTTGTGAGTTGTCAAAATGCACACTTTTTTTTTTTTATGGGTGAATTTGACAAATGGACTAAAGGCTAAAGGGGATTTTTAGGAGTGGATCCACAGGGCAAATCCATGCTGTAGGCCACCTGTTGACCCCAACTTACCTTGTTTTTGCCAGCTCCCAGTAAATACATTGTTTATATTGTCAACAAATTTCATGAAAAGACCAAAACCAGTCATGAATTTTTTTCTGTTGTCTCTAGCCAAAGCCCGATATATTTTATTCCATTGTTGTCCAGAAACTATTAGAAATAATTAATGAGCCGCACCGTTGCACCGGGTGACGTTTCATTACAATGAACATGAGCACTGCAGCTTGTCCATGTGAGTCATGGAAATTGTGCACCAACCATGAGCATGTTTTCAATTAATTTTTCATGTACTTAATATATTTGGCAGGGACAGTGCTCATTAATCAGCAAAAATGCAGAAGAAACTGTAAATGAGCCAGTAAATGTAAATGAGACGGTGTTAGCCAATGAGGCTAATTTTCATCTGTTGTCATACAAGACTGGCGACTGAAAACGGTCCGCAACATCTGCGCTATTTACTCTTGATGGTGTGATGATTTCTAAAAACAGCAGTGCCCAGCTGTTTTAGGAAATCTTGCCAGATGTTTTTCACATGCAAAGAATTTGGGTTTTCAGTGGCACCGAATGTACTTGCAGTTTTACACTGTACCTATAGCTATGTTCGGGAGACCTGCCTGAATGGATCAGAAACAACAACTGACAGTGGCTACATCCGACTTGGATATAGCAGAACTTGAGACTTTCAAGTTCTGCAAGTTGTAAACAGTAACACAAGTGGTTCAATGTATGGAAGAATGCTTGGAGTGTTTTGAATGGATAATGTAAGTTACTTTCTGTACATCCAGTGGATGGGTATGCACAATATGTGCATGAATTTATGTTTTTATAAAGTTTATACAGCCTGCTTGAATTTATTATGGACAAGTGAGGGATGATAGCTACATGTTGTTGCATCAGTTTAAAACTAATCTGAATATAATTTGCAGTTAGGGTGGATGTTGCTCCTTAATGCTTTATCTGAATGATTGCGTGTGGAAAGAAACTGTGTTGTTTTAGCTGTTAAGATCAAAACAGTCCCATACAGGGCTCCCACTTTTTATTTCTGGCATCATGATGTCACTCCTTCACGTGATAAGGTCTAAGTTTAGGTTATGGCGCTAAATCTGCATCTAAAGCTTGTAGGGTACAGTTACAGAGTTTTGGGTTACCCACTGTCTTGAATGAAACACTGTACAAAACACTAGCAACATTTGTCTTGTCTTATTTTATTTTAGTTTGTTTTTTAGTGACAGTTGTTGTTTTTTTTCAGGTAATTTATTTTATTTCAATTTATGAACATGTTGCAAATAGTTTTCATGTTGGTTTTTGTTTTAGCATGCGATAACAACCCAGGTCCTCAGTGACTTTCTATGTCCTCACTCTGGAAATGTACAAGATTTGAATGGTGGGCAGATCTGCACCAGTGATCGTTTCTGCAATCCTGGCTGCCTGCTGTAGTCTGTACGTGTCTAGTGTCGTGGCCGAACCAAACCAGGCTAATAGATGTCTGGAGAAGAGACTCCATGATTTCACATAATGGTTCTGGATCAGCAGCTCCTGAGGCAGGTTGAACTTCCTGAGCTGGTGCAGGGAGTACATCCTCTGCTGGGCTTTTTTAATAATTGAGTGGACATTGGACTGACATTGGTGCCTTTTTTTTTAAATATCACTGCATATTTGTGCCATGTTTTTTTAAAGGAGCCAGTTCATATGAGGCTGAGAGCCTCTGACCGGCTGGAGAAGTCAAAAACCTGTGGGAGACAGACCTAACATAAAATTTGTTCATGAGATTTATTGATATTCAGGAGAGTATAGAATATTATCAGCCATATTCTTCAAGTACACTGCAAACTGCAGACTACACACGGTGTCTTCATAATAAGTCCAGACACCCAAAGATCAGTTAGCAGTCATGATAAAATACTGCTTCATCCCAGGTTTTTGTGTGTCACTTAGGTTGTGCTACTCGATTAAGTTGCTTTTCATTTGAACACAGTATGAACTATATGACTTAAGCTCTCAAAACTAACTTTTGACTCTTTGTACCTCTTGGTCTCAAGTCACAAGCTTAGTTAATACTAACCAACCAAATTTCATATATACTGTAACTAAGTTTGGCAAATGTCCATAGTTATCATTTAACTAATTAACATGTAGTGATCCTGGGACTTTCTGGTCCAATGGTCAGTTGCCTAGTTGCAAAAAATCATCCTTCTTAGAAAGGTTGTACCCAGTGGTGCTTGTTTTATCAGAGCATATTAAGTTGAACAGTCAATGGGGTTGTTTCTTTTCTTAAATAAATATTGAGAGACCTTATTTGCTTTTCCTGTCCTTTACACAAGCCAGATGAATGTGGTGATAAATCTTATCAAACATACTGTCAACAGTAACAGGTGTAAATCCAAGGCTACATTCTCAGTAGTCCAAGAACTGTGCAGCCATAAAGATGTAATTCAGTCCCATGCAAACAACTGTTTAGGATTTTGTATGTGGCGACTTACTGGATGAACAGCCAGTCTTTTCTTTATAATACAGGAACACTGTGCTGGTTTGAGGGGTTGCCAAGAATAGCAGGGATTAGATATTACAGTCAGACTTGCTTGACTTGTGTGGTTACATCATTAACTCCTCTGCCTGTGATGCACTGTGTGTCCCTGTCACATTCATTAGCTGTCCTCAACTACAGCCAAGCCGGAGCAGCCCATGAGATCAGAGTCACCGTCTGCCTGCCAAACCACAGATTGAGAAGCACTGTGTAGTAATGCACAAACACTGTGGATGAACAATAGAGACTTACAATAAGCTTATTAGGGCGCATTTAGTTTTTACTGCTCACTTAAAAGAAAACCAATGCTTCTCCCATTACTCATGTGGTGCCGATTCATGGTGCCATGACTTGGCAGTTTACAGGAGGGCGACTATTTGAGGAACTTCGCTCTTTTATCTGGTGACAGCTGTGTGGGTTGTAAATGACTTCTGTTTAAAGGCTCTGGCTCAGGACCTGGAGGTTTAGTGTTGCTGCTGCTGCCACTTTGTGTATAACAGCACATACTGTACGTATAAAGGAAGCAGCACTGGCACGGGTGGGCGATGGTATGCATGAGTGTTGCAGAGTCACTGGCGACGGAAGGGCTTTACTTTGTGTTTAAATAGCAAGATCAGTTATGCAGCCCCGATCCAGAGCAGAGACAATGGCGAGAGGGGGAATGGGAAAACTGCCCTGGGAGAGTTGACACTTGTTGGTGCTCAGTGAGGTGTGAACCTTGGCTGTGATGGCCCGGCCAACACACTCTGTCAGCATGTTAGGAACATTTCTGTCATCTTTACAAGAAAATCATTCCTCTTTAGATCCCACACTGTTTTGTACAAATTAAAGCTACAGCATGTAACTTTTTCAAATATTTTTATTGCAGAAATCTGCTCCAAAACTTGTCTTAATGTGGAGAGATGCTGTCGCAGCCTCCTGTGACCCAGACTCACTGAACCATACTGGCAGCAGTGCACAGATATTAGCTTCTAAAAGGTTTGGAGTGGGTTTGACTTCTCTAACTAATCAGAGATTTTCAGTTATTTCTGCTTGATCAGTAAATTTCGTTGTATTCTCAATTATTGTAATTTCACAAGAATAAATATCTGAAGAGCTGGGTGGAGCGTAGCAGGTCACAGGAGTGCACAGTGGGGCAGGGCGGGTTGATTTGGAGTTTGATGCTAGTGCTACCTTTAGTTACACACTGTAGCTTTAATATGGAAAGCTTTGTTTTTTGCTGTTCTCTCAGTACACTGTCTACCTTTTTTTTTTTTTGCTTGTTCCACTGATGGGATTCAGCAACACAAAATGTACTGCTCACACAGAGGTCCCATACCAATCGCTCAAGCAGTGCTCTGTCCAGCTACTGGGCTGCAATTAACTGTAGTTTCTTAGATTCAATACCATTTGACTTCAGGTAGTAATTATCAGGCTGTGTGAGAGTCTAGTTGGTTTCATGTTCTGTCTGTCTGTGATACATTTTTAATAAAGTCATTACAGCGTAAATTACCTTCTGCATCTGCTCTGCTGCTGCTTTATAGAGTCATTAGCCATGATACATTTGGCCAACAAGATGTTTTACCCTCTTCAAGGGGCATTACAGCAATTAAAGTACATAAGCACATTTTAACATCTTTGGTACTACCTTCCTCTAGTTATGCAATGCATCACTCATGATTTTATACTGTAGGTCACATTTACATTAGCCTAGCTGCCTTCATTTTACTTGTGCAATTTGTAACTGCAGTGACCACCTGCTGCATTGTGCTAAAGGCTTTAGAATAAATTGCAAGTGCGATGGTACAGTTTTGAATCAACTTAATTTAAAGAACAATGCATAGCATCCATCTTTTCATTAAAATTTTTGCCCCTTAAATATGCCAACTTTTACATGTAGTTAATTGCTACTCTGTTGGCACTTTGCATAACATTCATGTGTGGAAAATGAGCACAGTTTTTGAGACACACCATTCCTTAAAGTAAGTTCAGCAACAATGTAATGATGTTTGGTTGAGCTGTGAGTTCGTATATCTCATCGTTATTTTGTAATCTTGGTTTCTGGTTGCAGGCTCGAATCTTTGTGGCACGACGAGCTGAAAAGACGAGGGCGAGATGGGGCATCTCTGAGGAGAGTATTCTGGAGGTTCTGCCAAACCCGCATGCTGGTGGCCATCTTTTCCCTGCTTCTCACAATGGTGGCAGGCTTTGTTGGGCCTGTGAGTAAATCCTCCACTGACTTTATATTTTGCTGATTTGGCTAATGTGTCTTTCAGCATGGTTGCTGGTTTGGAATCCCAAGTGCTGGGGTATTTTCTCAGAATCACTTTATCCCATTATACGCTGGTCTGGAAATTTAAATGAATGGAGATTAAAAAGACTCAGATAGTGAAAGCCACATTAATACCATGCATTGGCTGGTTTGTACCCAGTCACACTTTTCTCTAGAAATGTGCACGTTTGACTCTAGATCACCTTCCAAAAATGCTTAGATGAACTTCAAGCAACAAAGAGGTTCAAAGTGACCACCTTACACTGAAGGTTAACTATGTTTGGAGTTCCCGTCTCTGATATTACACAGTTGGTTCCATTGTTCATCGTGCTCAGAGCTGTTTGTTTTGGTGTCATGTTACATGTACAATATTTGCCTGCCGCTGCTAATAGCATTAACAGTGTTTGGCTCTTACACAGCAGCTTGTTTGCCTCACGTTCCTGTCTGTTTAGTGCCCTTGCTGACAAAGCAGTGTTGTACATATTCTCTGTCTGTGCTTTATCGGTTCCCTATCTTATTTTTCATGACCTAATCACTAAATGTTGCTGGTCTTCTCTGCCATGTCAAGCCCTCAAGTTGATGACCTGTCTGTGTAACCATTCTCTTCAGTTTTATATGTGTATTTTACTCATATGGTCTTTAATTTATTCATTTAAAATATTCTCTTTCATCTTATCGTTTTTTCTCATTCGTGTTCTCCTTGTCCTGCTTGTCTGTATTCTTAAATCATACCTTTTCCTTTTCATAATTTTGTTCTGTTCCTCTTCTGTCCCATTTTGTCTCCTCAGTGTTCCTGCTTTCTTTCTGTGTTTCTTTCTCTGCTCATTTTTGTTTTGTTGCTGAGTTTTTGCTGATCCTTTTCCACTTTGTGCCCTTTCTCCCTCTTCTTCCCCAGGCCCTACTGATTCGAGCTCTGCTTGAGTACGCGCAGAACGCAGAGAGCCGTATGTATTACGGCCTGTGTCTGGTGGCCGGGATATTCCTCATCGAACTGATGCGCTCCTGGTCTCTGATGCTCATGTGGGCCCTCAACTTCCGCACTGCAGCGCGCCTCCGCGGGGCAGCTCTTACTTTTGCCTTCCACAAGATCCTCCGCCTGCGCAGCACTAAGGACATCAGTCCAGGCGAGGTAGATAACATAACCCTGGTGGGGACCCATCACAAATGAGCTAAACCACCCCTCACTATGCCACAGTTACCAGGGCACCACACACAGATGAATGAGATGGATTTAATTTCTGCTCTTAGACCATTCTTGTGTAAATCTTGACAAATCCCATAACCCGAGAGAAGGGAGGCTGTCTAAGATTAGTCATTACACAGCTTTAGAAGAATCATTGTCCAGCAATGTAGAAGGAAGGGCAAATAAATGTGTAAAATTACCTTTACAGTCTTAATACTGAGGTCTCAGTAAAAAAAAAAAAAAGTGTTAGCGTAATGAAGCTATTTCATGAAATTTGTAATGTGAATTGCTGTCTCTCTCTATCTAGTTGATTAACATGTGCTCCAGTGATGGCCAGCGCCTGTATGATGCTGTGTCGCTGGGCTCCCTGCTGGCCGGGGGGCCTTTGGTGGGAATACTGGGTCTGTCTTACACCGCATACTTCCTGGGCCCCAGTGCTCTGCTGGGGTCAGCCATTTTCATCATCATCTACCCTGTTATGGTACGAAATCCCTATGAGTCTCCAACCAAGTAACTCATTATAACGGTAACAAGCAAGTTAGTGAGTATTTCCTAAAGCTTTTCTGAAGTTATGATCCTACATTTGATGGCTATGACATGCGATTTCATCCATTTAGAAGATGTTGCTTTATTATTTTATGAGCTTTAAAATCTTTAACTTAAATTTAGGCTATTAAAGAACACAGAGCACTTTTCAAATGCACCTTTCAACTCTTTGGTTATCAATCTCTTGTCATCTTGTAGTTGTTACACTTCAAATTACACTCAGTCAAAGCCAGAGCCTGACAACCTGAGACCCTGTTATTTATGTGAAAGGCATTTATCACTCTGGTCCCCTGGACAAGCCTGCAGCACAGCTAATGTGATTGTGTCTGCTTTCATTTCCTCCTCTGCCACTTATTTCTCTTATTATCATTTCCTCTGCTCCGGTCTGGACAGATGCTTGCATCAAGGCTGACGGCGTATTTCCGCAAGAAGTGCGTGGTGGCAACTGACCGGCGCGTGAGGCTGATGAATGAGATCTTGGGCTGGATAAAGTTCATCAAGATGTATTGTTGGGAAGATGCTTTTGCACAGAATATTCACAGTGAGTAGCCATCATGTTGCTAAATGGCTCTGCGATATCATAACGCCCTGCTCATTTCCCGTTTGTAGTTTGTGGTTTTCTAGAGCTGCAAACGTCATGCTATTGTGTTTCTTTATTAGCCTTTTTGTTCCCAACTTGCTCAGAATACAGACTCACCTCATTTGAGCACCTGTCATTGTTGTAAATTAGAAACTAAATGGTTAGTTTGTCTTCTGAAATTAGACTCCTCTTCTTAGTGAACTGGCCAGATAACCTTGACCTTAAATCCATTTTCATTAGCTTGCTCGGTTTAAGCGTTTTCGTGTGCCGTCGTCTGTAATCAAGGCCATTTTGAATCCCACGGCTTCAAGGTTAATTTTCATGGTTTTAGGGGCCTTATGATACCTCAAATGACCGTCGAGGCTGCTCTGCTTACCCATGAATTATCGATGGCCTTTTCTCATGAGGCCTTTGCTGTGGGTGGTAGCTGGGGATCATTTTCTACTTTTAATCATGCTCCAAATGGCCAAGTAGGACTCGTTTTCACTGCTGCCTTTTGATTACCTATTAAAATGATAATTAATTGGCAGTCAGCTTAATGGACAATGAGTTTTAAGAGTTACTGTGCCATACTCTTCAATTACTGTTGTTGTTAAATTGAAGATCACAGTGTCTTTTTTTAGAGTAATTTGTAATTCACACAGAAACATCCAAAGGGAATCTCATGGGGAATAATGTGCACCGGGAGAAGGGAGTTGTCATATTTCATACTGTGTGTATGAAACATGCTGCTGGGGCTGAATTAAGGATGCGTTTTGTTCCAGGGTTTCCACCCACTGAACAGGGTTAACAAAGCAGCTTGTGTGTGCATTTGGGAGATACAAACATGAAGGAAGGGGGCAGGATTTAGGCATTGAAATCCCTTACATACCATGTATGAATGCAGGGCCCTTGTCCTCCCTCTTATACCTGTTTCTGTCCACTCAATGCACTTTGGTTAGTGAATCTTACTATTGCTCTTGATTGAATGTTTACTGGAGATCCCTTTGGGAGTCACGCACTTAGCTCATACTTTTTTCTCTCTCGCTCGCTCTGCCTCATCATCTGCCTATTTCTTATCACGTCAACAGAGGTGCGCTCAGAAGAGAGAAGAACACTGGAGAAAGCTGGGGTTGTCCAGAGCTTCACAGTGGGTGTGGCCCCCATTGTTGTGGTGATAGCTAGTGTGTGCACTTTCACCCTCCACATGGCTTTGGGCTACGACCTTAATGCAGCGGAGGTATTTTATATAGCACCTACAGTCACCATATCAATTGCATATATGTTTCCATTTGCGATTCCCTCATCTTCACTGGAGACAGGTTTGAGGAAGATTGTTTTCAGTTTGTGTGTTCTTTCCTGCACGCTTTGTTCTCTGTTGTCATGTATTGGACCAAACAAATTAAATAACTTTGCAGTCAGGAAAGACAATTAAAATAACACCTTTATCCATCTCTACACACCCTGTCCTAGGCTTTCACTGTGGTTGCAGTTTTTAACGCCATGACCTTTGCCCTGAAAGTCACACCCCTGGCTGTGAGGGCACTGTCAGAGGGTGCTGTGGCAGTCCAGAGATTTCAGGTGAGAAATATAGTTGTTTGAGGGTTCACTGTGATGTAGCACAAAAATGGTTTCCAACATTGTCAAAGCATATTGTACATTAACAACTCACTTGCAAAGTGTCCATACTTTTTATAGAGGTCAGCAGATCAAAACAGAGAATGTGGAAACTGTATATCAGTGGGAATATCACGTTTTCACTTCCCAGAGCCAATAAAAAGGTGCTCCTACTGACATCAAAAACACATTTAGCCTCACCACATACTGATGTTTTCCACATATCATATTCCATACACAAGGTAAAAGTCGTATGTTAGTGAGAGATGGTTTCACAGAGCCAGCTAGGCTTAAGCAAGCATTTCTGCCAAGGATGCACCAAAAGGCTTGAGATATTGGCATCCACTACCTCATGACATAGCATAATAACAAGTGTGGTATATCATTTTGTATAAATGTATTTTAGTCATGCACAAAAATAAAAACAGAAGTCAGGTAGGTACTGCAAGCATGTGATTGTTTGGCATTTTGTCAAGCTGGCATCACAGAGCTTGAGGTCAAGTGTTGTGTAAAGTAACCCGTTGTGTTTGTTTTCACAGAGACTCTTCATGATGGATGACAGACAGGTTGTTCTGGTCAAAATGGATGATCCTAGCAATGCTGTAGAATTTCAGGATGCCACACTAGTTTGGGAAATTGCTCGGGCTCCTGTTGCAAAACCTAACCTGCCTCCCAAGAAGCAGGGAGGGATGAATTGTGTGCTGCGCAGGGAGAAACTTAGCCTGTACATTTCCACAGAGGATGGGAAAGAAAACAATGAAGGCTGTAACGCACAAAGTCTCCTCACAAATATGGAACAGGAGAGTCCACACAGCACCATCTCCTCAACTCAAAGCTTACGACCTCCGCTGCACAAGACCCTGCATCGCATTGATCTCCGCATTAAGAAGGTAACAGCATATACATTAAGTGGGGTGTTTTATTTAAACAACTGGACAAACATTTGCCCGTGTCATTTAATTCTGTTGTTTCTGTTTCTTCCCTTTCTAGGGTTCACTGGTTGGGATCTGTGGAGGTGTTGGGAGTGGAAAGAGCTCTCTCCTGTCGGCTCTGCTGGGGCAGGTGAGATTCAGCTCAACTAGATTGCTCAATTTAAGTTTCCCCTTCAGACAGGCACAGACAAGGACAGCTTTAGGTTTTTTTCATCCACACATGCTGTTACCTACAAGGAAAGGCATGGGAACATTATAAGTGTTTTTCTGCTTCCGACCTTGTGTTTTTGTGTTACAGATGACCCTGTTAGGAGGTAACGTAGCTGCCAGCGGCGGCTTTGCTTATGTCTCTCAACAAGCCTGGATCCTCAATGACTCGCTCAAGGAGAACATTCTGTTCGGAAAAGAGTATGACCAAGAAAAGTGAGATTCATTCTGTTCAAGTCTGCAGGCTTTTGTGCAAAACTGTTGTAATATTAACAACCTACAGGCTACATTTATCCCAGTTCCACAAACTAGAACAAAACTAATTACAACACAAACAAAGTGTATCCAGAATAAAAGCTAAAAAAGATTATTTGTTCTTAATTGTTTCCTCATCAGATACAACACAGTCTTAGAAGCCTGCTGTCTTCTCCCAGATCTTGCAGAGCTCCCATATGGAGACAGGACAGAGGTATCTTTAGAAATGTTTTTACTCAATCCTCAGTATATCTTTGTGCTTAGTTCTGCAAACTTTTGTTTTCTGAACTAACATGCACAGCAGTTTCAGTTTATGCATCAAATCTAGTGCAACTGCAAGAGAGGAGTTTTTTGTATCTTTTTTGTTTGTGTATTTGTTTTACTTTCTCTTTCTAGATTGGTGAGAGAGGGGCCAACCTGAGTGGAGGGCAGCGTCAGAGAGTGAGCCTGGCTCGTGCTCTCTACAGTCAGCGGCCCATACTTCTTTTGGATGATCCTCTCAGCGCCATTGATGCTTGTGTGGCTTCCCATGTCTTCCATAAAGCTATCAGGGCTGCCACCAAAGGCAAGACAGTGCTCTTTGTGACCCACCAGCTGCAGGTGAATTTGTAATGATGCCAAATTTTTTTCAGAATGTGTCATCACTGTGAAACATGACTGAAAAACAAGTATTTTTAAAAACAACCTTGATTAGCGGAATAAAGTTTGAAGCTCCAAATGTCTGCAGCATCAAATTGTAGCTTTAAAAAAAAACTTTTTATGTTTTAGTATCTGTCTGAGTGTGACGACATTATTCTCATGAAGGACGGGCAGATTGCCGAGCACGGAACCCATGCACAGCTAATGGGTAAAGAGCGTGACTATGCCACCCTATTCAGAAATATGCAACACGAGGTAAGGCCAGAGGCACATGAGGCACCAGGCCAGCTTTTCTGAATAAGGCATCTTTGCCTCCACTACACAATAACACTGAACATTATAAGCTGAATAATTCATGATTCGAGAAAGGCAGACCCAGTAGTTGGGAAATGTTAATGCATGTCTTTCATTATTTATTTGTGCATTGATTTACTGGTGAGCAGCTAAAGAGCCTGTCAACAATATTTCTGTTTAAATGACTTGCAGGGTGTTGTTGTTACAGTTGCTGTGATTTGTGGCGGCGTGTTTCAGAGCTCAAATTCCTCCTTGCATTTTTTAGAATGTGGTGAAAGAGAATATAAAAGACAAACAGCAGAGGTTATGTGCAGACGAGGCTGATGGCGTCGTTGATGTTACCAAGGTTGGGCCAAAGGTGGAAAGCAAGAAAGGAGGTCAGAGACACTGCCTCTTTCCACAAGCAAATGCTGAATGTTTTTCTTCAAAAATGATCCACAATTTATGTCTTTGTTATTTTGTTGCTTTCTTTCTCATTTCATTTCTTGCATCTTATTTAGAACAACTGATGAAAGCTGAAGAGAAAGGCTCTGGTGCAGTCTCCTGGTCTGTGTATGGTGCCTACATCCAAGCAGCAGGAGGACCAGTTGTCTTCATCATCAACATCTTCCTCTTCCTTTCCACCACAGGCAGCACAGCCTTCAGTAACTGGTGGCTGAGCCATTGGATCAGGCAGGGCAGTGGGGTGAGTTTAGAGTCAATTCTGCTTAAGTATAATAGATGCCCATCTTTTTTGTGTATCCCCCCCCAAAAAAAATACTGTAATTCAGTGAACTGTGGCAGCCAACAGAGCATAAATTTGAATCTACATGATTAAAAAGTAACACACCACAGTAAACGTAATTAAAAACAAGCACAGGCAGTGAAGAAACTGATGTGCAGCTAAGCAGGCAGTGGCTGCTACTGTGAAATGTGCTTGGAATAGTAAACATCATTGAACTGACAGATTTTCATGTACTTTCTATATGCCACAGTGCACTTTTCTCCATTTCATTAGAGGCAAAATTCCTACATGAGGAAAAAAATAGTTTTCTTTTTTTCTCAGTCTTTGTAATTTGTTGCTCCATCTGCCCTCAGAACACATCATTAATCTTGGTGAATGATACGATGGCAAGCAGCAGCATGAGACTCAACCCTCACATTCGGTATTATTCAACGATTTACGTGGTATCCATGGGAGCTGCTTTACTGCTGAAGACAATGAGAGGACTAGTGTTTGTGAAGGTAAGCTATCCCCCACCATTCTCCCTGGAGACCCCTCTTTCTGTTACATGCTTTGTCCACTTAAACACTAATGAACTTTATAGTGATAATGGCATTTGAAAACACTTTGAAAAGTTGATATATTAGTGTTGTAGAATCAACTGCTCCTCCGTAATTGTCTTTATTGTCATTTGTTCATGCTCTTATGGTTCTATGCCATAATTGAAAATGCCTGTGGGCAAAATCCATTTATCTGTCCACTACCATGTCTCACAGCTTTACAATGGCTGTGTCTGTGTGGTGTGCGTCTGTCTTTGAGTGCAAGAGAGGTGTGGGAAATGAACATGAAGACAAAGAGGCAGAGAGAAAGAATGGATGTGTGTGCTCCACACGCATGCCCCTTTGGGTGTGCGTCCTCCTTTTCATGCTAACCCATCCTGACACTGCATTGCAGAGGTTAGGTCCCCGCGTTAATGTGTGCCACATGAAAGTGCTAATTTTTCAAAAGTGGCTGAT